ATTTTCATCAGAAGAAAACAAGGAATCCAGAAAGCTGATTGAAAACAACGCTAGAGGCTTCAGATTCAAAATAATCCACATTTTTTGCCCATTTTTCGCAGTCACAATCTTTAACCGACGATAACTTTCTAATGATTCAATATAAAAAAATTCAATGTCAAGGCTAGATAAGACATAAATCCAACGGCTACATTACATAAACAAATAACAAATTTGCATTTTACAATAACTAATTTCAGGCGTTAGTGTGTAAACAGCAAAAAACGACCAATTTTCCAAAATTTTATCTACATAAGAGCAACAAACATCGTCGTTACATGGTCTGATATCTTGAGTGGGAAATAAACATTCAATTTACTTTGTTTTCTACAATTTATGGTAGCGATATGCTCAATAATAATTACTTCAATAACTTGCAGGAATCGAACAATTCCGAATTTCAATGATAAACACACAATTAATCATGCAGGCTAATTAAGACTCAAATTTTCCTGTAATGGAACAGATCAGTGGTGATGTGGCGGTCACGAAGCAATCACGCCATAAGTTTACATGAGTAACACCCACTTTAAGCCAATCCAGATAAGATTAGATACACGATTTGCAACTATGTCAGTAGGAATTAGGAGTTTTATCTTATCTGGTGAAGGACGGAATTGAATTAAAATTGCATCCTACAGAAAAACACAACCGATTGGTTCCCGAGATAGTGAGCTTCAAGCTTTTCAATATGAAATCCCAGTTGGATAATCCACAACAACTCATATCAAAGACTATTGAGGCCTGCGATATTCATGGATGTTTCCCAGCAGTTAATTAAGATTATTCATGCAATGTGTCCACCCATTAAGTCATCCGTAAGGGCAGGACGTTAAATTCCAACCATATGGATGTTGGTTGGTATTAAACTCTACGTAATAAACGATCGCTCACATAATGGGGCTCCACATAATCTCTTCTACACACACATGAACACTCTTATTAAAAAGCACGCGGGACGCCTGCATGAATATATTACCCCAAAATTAACGTGGTGTCCTGGTGTGAAAAGGATGAACGGGTTTAGCAGTGGCGTTCTTTCAGCATGATCAGCAATATGAGATCAGATAATTCATTGCAAGTTGCCACCTGAATTAGAAGCTTCAAAAAAATTGCTCAGTTTGAAAATTACTTAATATGCGTTAATAGACGACATATACTTTCGCTATAACCGGGTGATATTTAATCTATATTAAATATCATATATATATAAGAAAAAGATCTATATAAGGAAAAGATAAGTTAATAACGAAAACCAGCGACAGTTTTAAGTATCAATGTAGTTGCCACTTTTGGTAAGCGTTGTGTTATTGCTTTACTATTTTCCATTAAAAATATTTTAATATTCGGTTCGATCGAAAAAGAATTTAGACTGTTTTAATAGCGCTCTACTGCTTACGTATACGATTAAAATAATTACTTTGTTGTGTGTGCATGTTGCCATTCCCCCATTAACTTAACAGAATTTTCCATATTACCTAAGTTGAGCAAAACCATTTAACTTGTCCGCAAAACGAACCAGTGGGCTAAAACAACATGGTACAAGTACTATTGGAAATAATTAACACACTGTTGCTTAATGAAAAATGCGACAAAAAGAGGCTAAAAAAGAACCACGCGATGAATGATTTGAGGCCTATAAATACCCTCAATACCAAATGTCTAGGTCTGATTCAAGTAATTATGGCAGGGTCATTGCAGATTCGTCTACAAGCGCTTAAAAATAGATTTCTATTCCTAAACTCCTGTTAAACCCATTAAAAATACATACACCTTTCCAGATAAGACCTGACTGATATCGCTTTATGCACATTGTGGTGCAATGGAATGTTTAGATTCGCATTAACTTAACAAATATCCCAATAAAATGTGACTGTTTACGTTGCCTAAATGGTTTATTTTCACGTTTACGTTCCGCTCACAACCGTTTTTCCTGAAAACCGATTGAAGCCAATTATGACCGCGCTCATTGAGAATTGCATTTTGAAGACTTCATAAGAACGCAACCACTCGGCTAAGCTGTCTTTAGCCAATTACAAATTTGCAATGCAAAATCCTTATCTGATGTGTTGGACTAATGCAATTACGGCCTTTAAATGCAGCCATTTAGGCAAGCTTAAGTTGAATGCCAGGCTTTATCCCATTCTGATCAATGACTGGATTTAGAGACGGGTTAAATCTCCATTTAGATAATAGGAATTGTATTTAAGAAGATAATCGTCATTTCAACAGGTGAGATTGAAATGTTCGATTTATTTGCTACAGGCAATTCTTCTCGAGCATGGCTAGAGATTTAAGAGAACCACATTACGCACTAAGGTTGAGTGTGTTTTACTCATTACGCTGGCAAAATACACATTTTCCTGAAAGGAACAGAACGGGCCGAGGCGAGTTTTTTGGGCAAACACAACGAGTAAAACTTCGCGGTAAAAGCATTATTTATTTCGAGTTGCACTCCTTGATGAGATGGACTTATTTAAACTCTCTATTGCATCACTTTTCACTAAAAAAATATGCGTAATATTTTAGGAAACTTGAAATTTAACAGCACCGTTTGGTTTGAATGAATGCAAAAACGACTGAGAAATATTTAAAAATTGTTACAAGTTTTCCTTACTCAGTCGCGAACTAAACAAGTTCTCAGAAATCTGATTTTAGATAAAATAAAATGAAGCAAAATGTCAAAACATTTTTAGAAAATAACGGAGAATTTGAGTAGTATCATGGACTATTTTAGTTTAAAGCCCCTTTTTTTGTTCTCTTGCATTTTCTCGCTCCTGATTTATTTCCTTCTTTTAAATGCCTTTTGTTACTAGAAAAAGCATAAAATATTTCTTGCCCAGTACCTAGACTTGAAAAAAGTTTCTTGTATTAAATGCCGATTAACGAGCCGCTACTGGTTGCCCAACAAATCCAGGTAGACCAATGACGGCTCGTGAAAATCCAGCCCAATAGAATCAATGCTATGGATTTTGGTTTTATTTACTTTTTTTAGTTTAATGTGATTTATGGGCTTAGTTATTTTAGCAAGCAAATACCTGATCTCTTGGGCTTACTTGGAAATGTTGAATGCATGGAAAAACTGGGGTTATATAATAATTGCAATAAAAAAAAATGTAAACTACATAAGTAGAAGGTCAATAAAGTGAACAATACGTGTTTTTTATGCACGATTGTTTGCAGTTCTTATAAATGCAGGAAAGTTACGGTTTGGGAATCACTTTTTCAGTGAATTGTTGGCTGTTGTTGAGGAAATAAACCGTCAGTGGGTTGCTGATGACTAAGGCCACGATGGGAAATAGTTACTCTGTGCACGTCTTACCTGCCACGGTGAATCTATCCATATAATTAATTAAATTTACATAACACAACACGCTGACTGAAATCCATTCAGTCAATTTGACGTCCCTCCAAGACCGTTCATGTTCACTATTGTCCTCACTTTCGCGTACCAATTCGGCCTGGGAATTATTCTGTTCCATGATGTTCAGTTTTTTCAGCACAAAGTTCGAACTTTTCTCTAGTTTTTCTGACGGCATATTTGCTGGATCCTTCCACACACGCGACGGCCGGCCGAATGAAGGGAATTTGAAATTCGTTCCATGTTGGCGCTATTCTATACACGCATGTGCTAGACAATCACCTGATGAATGAATGGTGACGTTTCCTTTCTGGTGCAAAGCGCAGCGCTATTTTTATCTGGTGCAATGTTTTCGATTACTGATCGATGAATATCGTACTTACTATCCCGCTTCACCACTGCCGGTAATCGGCTCAATTTCCTTTAAACGGTATTCAAACAATAAAAATAATATGGATCGTAAGTGCAGAGAAAACTCAAACTTTCCGCACTTGTGTCACTGTCAAAAAACTGTTCGCGACGCCAACCAGCTGACTTGCCAGTGGTCAGTGCCGTGCACAAAAATCTTTTTGGCCGTTTTTGCAGAAGATCACAGATGCTAAAAGCGATAAATCACTTGAATATTGCAACAATTAAAAAAAAACACTGGAAATCACACTCCACTTATGGCACCACAGACGCTGAATAAATGAGTTAGTTAATATTTTTTTAAACGATTACTGATAAGAGTTTTTCGCCGATAAGAAAACCATAAATGCTTATTGACCCTGGTTCACATTAAACCCGTTAAATAAAATACCTGGTTCACATTAAACGTTTATATTACTATCTGTAGCACTAAAATTCCTTACAAAAAAAATGCCAAATAAATTGAGGAATTTTACGTTTGGATGTAATCAAACTAGTTATTCTCAGGCTAGGAGCTTGCCTCTAGATCTACGTTGCCACTTCGCCGGATTAATGTGTTTCTTTTAATAACCCAAAAACTCCAGCTAATGTCAAATGCATAATAAACAAATAACATTGAATGTGGCAATTGCAATAAATTGTTTATAATAATTGTTCGCTGCTAAGTATTGTTGGACTCAATAGTAAATATGGGAGACGAAGGGGGACTGGAGATTTTGAACAAACTGGAAAAAGTAATATGCCTTTGCATTTAGTTTTATAAAAATCACTACTACGCGATTTTGAATCAATATTTTCAGTCTCTTGGACAATTTGTGTGTTTACTGCTAAATGAATTGCATTAGAGATTGTTGTTAAATGATTTATTAACATTATGTTTTAAAAAAATCCTTGAATTCCTCGAAGTATATTGTAACAATTACAGGAGCAAACCAATTTATCCCTATTGCAAGAACGGTTAGCCAAAAGTGCTCAGATCACGAAAGGTATAGGCAACATACTAAATACCTTCGAGCAAAGATTGTCCCGCTTGGAAGAGACGATTTTGCCAGTGTATAATGAAACTGAAAGTCTCCAGAAGGCTCAGTATAGTATCCTTTTAGTTAATTTCTTCATTGTACGTCTCAGCAAACTTACTTTGCGTTATTTGTACTCAATAGTTAGCCACAAAAGCGTGAAAAATCCTTAACAAAATGCGCAGATATTGAGTGCACTATGCAACTGCTTGATAACGTTATTGGATATTACGAAGTATCTGGCAATGTGGAGCATATCATAGAAAAGGGGCCGGGTGAAGGCGGGATTGAGCTGGATAGATACATAGATGCCTTAAATCGGCTTTATAATGCTCAGAAATATTTTGAAAAAAACATACCCCAGAGCGTTGAGCTAATAAATGTGGTAGGTGTCGATAACTAGCCTTCAATGATGTTTATTTCAAACTAATCGATTCTTTCTTTAAATTGTAGTCATCGTTTTTCCACAAAGGCAGCGATAAGTTAAACGCAGAATTTAAGACAATTTTGGACAAATACAACACGCCGATTTTGCCGATTGTTTTGCTAGATTTCATTCATTTTGAAGGTAAAACGAGTGAATTATCCATAATTAAATTACTAACTATACATATTGGTATAGAATCCCGGGATATGAAAGCTCTTCCCAAACAGATACCCCCAGAAGCAAAAGAACAACTGATTAAAATATCATCCTGGCTGCTCAGTCATAATCGAGACGAATTCTTGACGGTTTATGGAAAAACTAGAGGCAGCGTATTGCAACGTTCCCTAACTATGCTGCGGAATCATCAAAAATCAGTCAGCGGCGGCAGCGTTCATACGTCTGCCAACTCTCCAATGTTGGTAAGACAATTCGCAACTTTCTCTGATTTAACAAATATAAACCTCCTTTGAATGTGTAGAAATCGAAGTTCCCCAGCAGACATGAAGCTAAAAGGCAGCATTCAACTAGACGATTGCAAGCATTTGAGCGAAAAGCTAACAGAATGTTCCTCCGTGCATCACAGACTTTAGAACACTCCACTGGGTTCACATTGGGGTCAAAAAGATCATCTCATCTAGGTAGTTTACTTTTTAAGTGCATTGGAACTAATATAATTCCAATTCCTATAAAATTGGCTGTATCTTTACAGATACATCCTACAGCGGAGAAGAAGTGGATAATGAGCAGGAAATGTACAACTACCTCATATGCATCATAGCCTTGCACAAGCTGATGCAAATAGAGCAATACTTAATGAAGGAGATAATCACGCCCAATCACAGGCCGCAGGTTTTTGAGCTTATTGTAAGAGAAGCCATGGACACCTTGGTTCAGGATGGAGAGGTGCGGAGTAGAACGACATATAAACGAAATGATTGATTGCCAAGCGCGGGTTTTTCAGAATATTGCCACCAGAGCGAAAAAGTGCATCCAAAGACACGACTTTGGAACAGTATTGGTGATCTTTCCGATTTTCAAGCAACTAAGAGCGCTGAAGCCTGATTTTGAACGGACTATCGAACAGTGGGACTTGAATGTTAAGCAAAAGTTTGAATCCATTTTGCAAATGCTCCAGACAACTGTAAGCGAAATTGGATGCACGTGAAAGTCAAAAGCTTTTTTCCAATGATTTTAGGGAGCTAAAGCTTTGGACGATTTTATAGAAAGTCTCCGATCAGACTCAGTAACTCAGCTTCCACCGGATGGCACTGTTCATGAGCTGACTAGTAACGTTATCATGTTTCTAGAGCAATTGCTGGATTACAGTGATACAATTGGCATAGTATTAGGTCAAGATCCTATTTATGCCAAGCAACTGGAGAAACTTAAATTCGCTGATCAAAACAAAGCGTTCATTGGCTTATATATAGGTAAATTATCCATTCATTTCCATATGGAATAATACACCAAAAAATTGAAAACAGGTAAAGTCCTGGCGCAACTCAACCACACTCTGATCAGCAAAAGTGAACAGTATAGTGACGTCGCCCTAAAAGCCCTTTTCCGGCTTAATAACAACAACTATGTGTTGAAATCATTGCAAAGAACTAATCTTTTGGAATTGTATCTGATATCGGAACCCAAGTGCGAAGAGTATTATCACACCTCGATTCAAGACCACAAAAAAGCTTATTCCCAGTGGTAAATTTTAGCATCATGATTTCGATTATTTTTTAAATATTTGCCTTGATTCAGCTGGAACAAGCTTTTGAACTACATAGAGTCTGATGACCCGTTCGTACATGGGGAAAAACTGAAAGACAAGGAAAGGGCGGCAGTGAAAGAGAAATTTGCCGGTTTTAACAAGGAAATTGAGGATATTTCGAAAGTGCAAAGAGGATATTCCATTCCGGATATAGAGTTAAGGGAGAGCATCAAACGGGATAATAAGGAGCTGGTGATTCCCAAGTATAACGCTTTTTTCAACAGGTAATGGAAGAAACGACGTTTTTTTAAACGGCTTAAAATAATGATGTTTTAGATACGGCGTCCTGAATTTTACGAAAAACCCCGAGAAATATATCAAACATAAACCAGATGAAGTTTCAGCAATCATTGATAGATTTTTTGATGTAGCCGCTTAAGTATGATTGGTGCATGTAGGTTTTTATTATTGATTTTATATTGTTTATTGGGATTAATTTACTTATTGTTATGTAAGAAGGTAAGGAGAAATAATCACTAAAACACACTATAGAAGATTTCAGATTAAAATTTATGGATTTAATTTGATCAATAAAACTGAATATTTATTTTCATAAAGCAGCAAACATAGGCGTTCAAAAAACGTATACCTATAGTCACTTTTTCCTAGATTTATTTTAACTTTACAAAATATTTCCAAAAAGTAATAGAGGCGATAGTAACTGTAAACATTCTACACATTTGGAGTTGCGACAATTTACGCAATGAAGGTACGTTTTTTTCTGAACAATAAACTTTTCATACATAACATAACATAAGTAAATTTAAAACCTACCAATTCAAGTCGTTGGAAGCTCTTTACTGAAGTAAGGAGCCGAAGTCTTGACTAGTAAAGTGTAGCAGACATCACAAACATGAGACGGCCTCATATTAGGCCCCGACTGAACAACACGAGCCACACAGTTCGGACAAAAAATCTGACCGCAATGCCTGCAATGTTGTTTTCGCTTGGAATTGGAAAACGGTATGTGACAATTTGAACATTCCTCGATGTCTTCCTCATGCTGCCATCGTACTTGGTGGTCTGCTTCGCGAATTTTTTCAAATTGTATCTGAAATTTCACTCAAAATGCTCAAAACCCTATATTGAAAAATTGATGAGACGCCATTGTGCATACCTGTAAGTTTTGCGATAGTTTTACCAAGTCGCGTTGAACAGCTTCAGCATTCTCTAGATCCTCTTGTTGCGAATGAAGTCGCGTTTTTAGTTCGTGGTTTTGATTTTGTAGTTTTACCTAAAACGATCAAAAATCACATATAAAGCTAGTTAACACTTATCTGACTTACTATATTATCTGAAAGCTGTTTTATTTGTTCTTCTCTTTCCTTAATATTTACATTTTTAGCTAAATACTGCTTTTTCTCTTTTTCGAGAATTTCAATCTGCTCCCTAAAATCAGAAATGATTTTCTTCGATTTCCAATCATGTGAAAGATATTACCTTAAATATTTAATTTCAATATCTGCAGATTCTGCCACGGCTTTCTTTTCGTGTTTATAATGAGCAATTTGGCTATTCAGTAAATCAATTTTAGACTGCAGGCTTTTAACGTTATCTTCAGCTGCTTCTTTTCCAACCTTTGTGATGATCAATTCTTGTTGATTTTTAAGCACCAGCTCATGTAATTCCTAGAATTTGAACCAAAAATAATAAGTTTCATATTAAATGAATATTATCACTCGCCTCCACTGTATCGGGTAAATCGATAAATTCGCTTTGCAACTGTTGGGAATGGATGGTGTACTTTCCCACCAGATTTTCGTTTTCTGTTTGCAATCTGCAACGATGTTTAAAGTGCCATTAAATTATCGAAATAAAATCAACCGCTCAAAACGTACTTATCGAGATCATGATATATTTGCTCCCTATCTTTGGTTAATTTCAGCAACTCTGCACTCATCTCCTTTGAGACTTGATTAAAATACTGCCGAAGTTCGATCAAATCTTGCTGAGTACAGTCAGTGGTTCGCGTGAGTTCAGCCACTTGCTGTTTGTGCTCTTCTCGCTTTTCATTCCATTTCTCTTCCATTTCTTTCCTATTAATATGGCTTAGTCGCAAATTGGCTGCAAACTAATGGCGTTACCTGAATCCGATTTCTTTGAGCAAATCCTCCTTGTGGCGATCGGCGGCTTTTTCTGCGACCAACACTTGCAATTTTAGCTCATTCACATGCTGTTGTTCTTTTACTAGCTGCGCCTCATAATTGCTGCACATATCACATGGGAGAATGTCACTCTTCGGCATCTCAAACGACGTATTGGTTGAGGCGGAGATTTGTAGATTCGTCTTTTCTGGTGTTTGATTTGGTGTTGGTTTAATGGACTGGAGAAATATTTTATTTCAATATAAATAGTACACACCATTTACTATTACAATGTTTTAAGGCTCGGTTTCTTTAACTATCCAGCTTTTAAAGTGGACAGTGGTTTTGGTAAAAACTGTTTTACCTCATTTACTAGATGACGACATTCCCTGCACTTCTGTAACTGCTCATCGGTTGCCCGCAGTTTCTCCTTCAGCGCTCTGATTTGCTCTTCTAAGGGGTCGACCAACGAGCGCAACACCTCTATATCCTCGAGAGTCTATAACGAATATTTTTCTAAAGATGCCACTTAGTGGAAATCGATAAACTACTTTCTGATACCTTTTCGGACTTTTCATCTTGTGATCCACCAAATGCATCGAGTTTCTTTGCAATTCCTTTCGTTAGAGCGTTTATCATAACGCTGGGCGCCAAACTGTGCTCCTGAAATTGAAAAAGCAGACAAAACTATTAATAAACAGCATAATTTTCTTTAAGCAGAGTACTGTAAATTACATTTGAGACTTTTCCTAATATGTGCTCGACGTAATTAAACATGTTGCTCTAGACGTAGGTCTACTGATAATGATGAAATTCGGTTGATATACCCACATCGGGTTAATGCTAGGAGTATGCTAATTTTCGTGATTAGCAAATGGGACATTCAACGAAGTAAAAGCAGACAGAATTTTAATTAGGGCTCAACGCGCTTCATACCTGACTAGTAGATTGTTGTTGGTACTGATTATTCTGATGTTTTAGCTGCTCGTTTTCCTTCTGTAGATACTGAATGTAGGCCTGCAGTTTTTGTAAATCGTGGTCATAGAGACTTCGGTTCGAGCTGGATTCTTCTACAGTTTCTAAAACGATTAAAAATTGCATCTAGAGCTATTTTATTGTTACCCCATAATATTAACCATGGATTAATCTTTGTAGTGATGCAATTTCTTCTTCGGCTTTTCGTTTTTCATCTTCAAAATCCGATTCCCGCATGCTGTCCACCACCAATTGGCTTTTAACATCATCAAGTTCATTTTTCAGTTTCTTCAATTGATCCATAAGTAGATTGTTTTCCTCATGTTTCCTTGATAGCTCAGCTGCATTAAAACGAGATTTTGTTCACACAATTTTCAAATAAAGTGAGAATCAGATGCAAAATATGTTAGTGGCACCCTACCTTCTTTTTGCAGAAACAAGTCCTTCATTTTGGCCCTCTGAGCGTTGAATTCTTCGGTCATTTTCTTGTTTGCCATTTCCAGAGTTTGCATTTGCAGCTGTGGATCTGCTGTTATAAAAAAACACAGGTTTTTTTACGTGAAACTTAGGTTTTTCCTGCGGCTCACCATTGGCTTTATCCACTTCCTGCGATTGATCCATTTGGAATCGATCGTAATTATTCGGCCAAAGGTACGATTTAAGCTGAGATTGGGATGAGCAGTTCAAACATTACACTGGAAGCAATGTAATGGTGTTATTTGGTAAATAGTAAACTTTTTAGTAATCATCTCAATAACCTATAAAAAGTTTGACAAACGTCAGTTTTTCGACCTGCAAATGGGGCCAACTGCAGGATATATTGAACACTTAAAAAGTGCTAAGGTACAATTTCTGAGTAACACTGTGAATAATTGGCTTTGCGTAAGGCTTAAAAATTGTACATTGTTAACCCAGTTTATTGAAGTATTAGTGAATTCTTATCAATTGTTGATGGTTGAGTATTTTTATGCGATTGGCGGCATTGTTAATTAATTATTCAGCAGTTTTGTCAGCTGTCTTGCTTTCAACCAGCATAGACGTCATAATTTTTCAGTCAGTCAATTTTCACAGTTGAGAACGTATTGTTCGCGATTAGTGCCTTTTTAAACGATTTTCTTGTGCATTTAATAGTATTTTACCATGGCGGACGAAGTGAATGAAAACGGCCACCCTGAAAATGGAGACGTTCCAGAGATCGAGCTTATTATCCGAGTAAGTTAATTTTTACTTGTACTTCAGGCCACTGTGCAGGGCGTGACTTTAAGTGCAGAAGGTTTGCTTAGGCCTGCCAGCATTCAATCCGTTTTGTTAACAATTGAAGGGTTTTCTGCAATAATTCAGCACTTGTTTAACACCAGGCTGGGAATATTAAATGAGGTTCCTCAGTCGTTATTAGCATACTTGACCTTGGAGTCCTCAGCTTGAAGCCTGCAATATTCCAAGTTTAGACATTAAAGTATTTTTCAGTTATATTTTCGGGTCTTTATACAGCCCCCGTATGCTACATGCCATCATGAGCCCGCAACTCCTTGCTTAGTTGTTGAAAATTCGAAATAGACAGAATCAACTTGAGCTGTGCCTAATCCTGTATGAGCTTAAATAAATTTTCTACTACTTAATAACTCATTATTTTCTACACGGTTCATTTCCTTGGCAACTTAGTAGGAGTTAATTCAATTAGTAATCCACACTTGAGCCTGATTACTAAGCTAGACCTTTGAGATCTAATTCATTGCAGAAATAGAATGTGTACTGTAGCTTGTTATATATTAGCTATTAATGCACTCGGGTAGTTAAAATTGAATTATTTCAATGCCATCTGAGAGTGATTCTATATTAATGAGCCGATTTTAACAATATCAAGATAAGGCTGATTATAGTAATATATCTTAAAACATTGCGACTGAGAACATTAACCATCTTATTGTTTATGTCCTTATGTAACCGGTGTAGGATTTTGTAGGAATTCTCTCTTTCTATGGTCAATTAAAATTTGTGTTGAATTTTAATGCATGATCCACTTTCACTGCTTGATATGCTGTTAAATAACATTTTAAAGGTATTTTTGGTAGCAAAGTTAGATAATCATTAAAAGCGTGTTTAAGGAATAGAACTAGAGCGTTTTCAATAGTTAATTCGGTGCATCAATGGGCGATTTTGAGTGAATAGCGCCTAAAGAGGCGAGATTACACATTTTTTTACAACGCCTAAGTGGGTTCATACCGCAGCTAACTGTGTTTGTCTAAGGTAGTGTGTTATCTTGATTACTTAATTGCTTAAAAAACATGCTACATCTAAGTACAGGCCGAGTAGAGTAAAGTAAATTAATATGTTGAATATCGTTCAAAGTGTTAGCTTGTTGAAGGATCTCAAGTTCAAATTTTTTATTCGCATAGTAATTCGCATAGTAACTCGTTGTTTCTTATTTATACATCATTCTTCTGTTCTTGCATAACTTGAAGATGGCATTCAATAATTCTTTGTATGTAAATGCGCCCAGGCCCATTTAGACGTTGTCGCATTCAGTCCATTGTATTTTAATTCTAATTCGATAACAGCTAGAAAGGTTTGTCATCATTCAGCACGATCACACTACCTGAAGTCTTTGATAAGTAAGCATGTATTGACAAATGTGTACTTAATGATTATTAGATAAAACAATAGCAATATCCATGTGATGGAGCGATTTATAACAATAAGATTTATTTTGCCATGTTGTTTTCCTACGGGACCGCGTTGGTTGATTTAAGAAAGTAGATAGTTTTATCAGTTTGCATATCAATTCTTGCTAGATTTTTTAGACGTTTTCTCGATGGTGATTCTAACAATTTCCGCATGGTACTGAAAATAATTCGCATCCAATAAATGATTGCCTTAATGCGGTGAACTTTCACATTTAATGTACGCAGAAGAATTGTTCGAGCACTTGAATCACTAAATTTCAATATTGCGATTCTTGAGATGGCAAGCCAACAGTTACAAAGAGGTGAGTCATGACCGATGACATTCTGCTATTTATGAATATTTCTCATTGCTGCTTCAAGTTAAGAGCGTAGTCCTTGACATGGTAAATACAAATTTATTATCATTTTAAAATTCATCCTTGGTATTGTTTGAGTCTTAAGGAAATATCGTTTAAAGCATTAAATGTACTTTATATGTGAAATATTCCATATAGCTGTTCAACCACACACACACTGTAAAATAGGTGCTATCCTAAAGTTGATAACCTAGATCCATAGACCATAATTGCTTAGAAATGCCGACTGCTAACATGTGGAAAATTAATGATATCGTATTTACGTTAAGTGGGTTTAATTTTAAATCTCAACTCTCTTTAAAGTTGATGATTTTTGGAAATTTGTACACAAAAACTGGTTTATACGCCATCATCTCCACAACAATTCACCTTTCATCATGACTGAAATCAAGTTGAGCCATTCATTACAATGGAAAAAACCATAATCCTGCTGGCACTTTATCTTTAAAACAATTCTGAGATTGATATGAAAGTACAAGGCAAAATAATCTTACAGTGGACAGTATGGCTTGGGAGTATTTCTGTTTCAAATCGGCCAAATAATGTACATTTTTTACGACTACGAAAAGTTGTTGATTCCATTCGCCTGTTGTTACGTTTCGTAAATTCCCTCTTGCCCGATAGACGATTTTCAAATATCGCCACAAATTTCAACGTTCCTTAGTAACTGGAATATGCAGTTTAATCGAGGCCACACTCTTTAGAGCCCTGTATTTCAGTTCATTAACCTCGGCAAAAATTGCTTAGATGTTACTGTTTACGACAGTATTTTAAATTGCATTGAAATTCTAATGGATTTAATTGGTTTAGTTGTATTGTTGCTAAGTTCAAATAAATCATTTAACGTGTATGTTGCGCGTTTATTGCGAACTGACTTTGAATCGCTTAATCCGCGCTTCCTCCGATTGAAATGTTTCTTTGGCAAAGAAAAATCGGGTTTATTTGGAATATTTCCTACACATTTTTTTTTGAAATTGAGGTGTCTTTATCAGATAATTGGCTGTTTTGCAGGTTGTTAAAGGTTGCAAATTATCAGCGAGAAATACCTAAAAGTTACTTAACACCGAGACGAACTTCGAATTCGCAATTATATGGATGCGTTCAAATGTGCAAGTCCAAAGATTTCATATAATGTTACTCGCCATTTAGCTAGTAATTATAACGATATTTTCAGCCCCACCAAATCTAAAAACTTTGCAATTGCCAAACAAAAAAAATCATGTATGCTATTTCGGATCTATTGAAAGGAAAAAATTCAGCTCACTGCATGATTTTAATTCGAAAGTGGAATACAGTAATAAATAAGCGACATAAAAAGGAAATTTCTACAGTGTAATTGAAATTCCGTTCTTGTAGCGAATAATTATTGTGTTAGATTGTGTCTATTTTAGTCAATTTAAATAATTTTTCCATCATGTTCAAAGAAAGTTGGCATATCTGGATGTTGGGACCGACGCGTTCGTTTAGTTTGTTATACACGGTGATTTTGAAGTCGATATTTTTTAACTGTATATGGAAATCATTGAGACACAACATTTTTCAAAGGTTGAAAAATTAAATAGTTACCTCCATAACTAAAGAAACGTCCAATCATTTCGTAGAACGAATTTGTGATTCTTTAAACGCTTTTTTATCTTTTTTCTGTCATTGTCCCGTTTTCCTTGCGTTTAGATCTTGCACTTGATTGGATAAGTTGATGTCCAAAAACTTGTTTAAACAGTGGCACATTCTCCGCCCACAAAAAACAACTGAAGTCTATTTTCTTTCATGTTTTTATCAGCTCATGGTTTTGGAATTTACGATAATTAACCATTTTTTCCTGGTGAAATAAAACCAACCAATTTGCATGTAATTCGTCCAAATTCTGTATGTTTAAAACAATTTAAAATCTGATCACAAAAGGCGGCCTATACAAGTCGGTTGCTTGTTGACCTTATTTAGTGTGAAAGTGCCACCAATAGGATTTTTATATAAGACCGCAATGAAAGTGTTATCACCATACTAAACATTTGGTTAGATAATTTTCAAAAATGTGCTCTTGTTTATTATTAAATCTTGCGTTCAGAGAGTTTTCTACGCTAAAGAGTACTGGCATGTTTTTTCAATATTTATATGGCATATGAAAGCTTTTGGGGGCAGATTTACGCCATGATAAAAGCTGAGTGGTTCGCTTGTACATGTTTAACAGCTGCAGTTTTTTCAGGGCGGAATTAAGCAAGATAAATAGGTGTTAACGCCGGTACGGGGTTAAAATATACTGGCGAAGTAAAGTGCAGGTTTTGGGAGTGTTATTTTCAGGCTTAACCCAGCCGATGGGAGCTAATAGACTCGAAACAGGTTTAAAGGGTGTCTGAAATGAGCACTATTTGCATCCGCTACATCTACTTTGTGTTAACAGCATTATTTCTTTCGAGCGACTGAATATTCAATTGAATTTATTTAAATATTCAAGGGTCAAGATTAAGCCGTCCCTGTACATATTATCATTTTAACACTAACCGTTAAATTTTATTTGGCTACTACTGTAACGGTCTAGTGACTTGAACATTTCAGGCAACATCTGTTTTTGTACATAACTGCCGTATTTTTAATTTGTCTGTTCGTCGATTGACCAAACGTTTTAGTGTATTGCTTTATTATTAGACTGCGAGTTTGCTGAGAATCGGATGAAGAAATAATAATTAGTGTAAATTCTCCAGAAATTAACAACAATAAATAAAGTTGTACACATGTTTTGGAGCGTGCAACCAACATTCATTCCCAATTTGAAATCTAACGCTAATTTATACACAAAGGAATTTGTTGTTAGCACATTAGAATGAATTGGCCATCATAAAGAAAACAAACAAATAATTTCCAGCAGCTCTGAATGCATTCCAAATGCGATTGACACGGATATAGTTAATTTATATTGATCCAGTAATCTATATTTTCGTGTGTTCTTACAGTTTGTTCATTAAAATGTGACCAACATTTTGCATTTGCTTCACATCGAAACTATAAATAAACACGCGTCTTGCGTTAAAGTGGCACGTAAATTTTCGTATGGAAATTGGAGAGATTTTGCTTGACTTTTGGAAAACATTCACTGATAGCGGTCTTATTTATGACTGGTGGCCTTTTTGCATCCTAATTTTGCCCCCTTGACTACAAGAAAACTGAACTTAAAGTGCATGAGAGCTTGTTCGTTGAACTGATCCAAATATTCCGTTATGTTTAGGATTGATTGAAGAAAATGCTCCCAAAGAAAACCGCACGTAATTGTTTAAACTCTTTATAATATGTGAAAGTTAATTGCTGGTTATAAATGGGGGTTTTTTCAATTTTTTAATGCTTGATGGGATTTTTTCAGTTTGCAATTTGGGTTTTATACGCCGCATGGTTTTGTCGGCCTGTTTTTACGCAACTGTCCCTTGCTGAGCAACGGGTTCAATGTATATTTAACTGTAAATTTCATACATAAAATGACCAAGTTATCACACAAGAATGCCAAGTTATGCAATTTGAAAATTGTATTTTACTGATTGAGGGCAGTTTTTCGCCCAAAAATCCTTAAATTGTAGACAAATTCGATTAGATCTTGGTACGAATAATACGAAATAAACAACAGCCGTCATCGTTATTTATTGACGATAGAAAATGTGTTTTGGCATACAAATTTGAGATACTGAAGGTGTGTAATATTTTCATAAAATGATTTGTGGCGCTTCTCAAGTGCACTTGGAGTTTCGCCCATTTGCAGCTGTGATTGATGATTACCGTAATTTAGAGCCTTTTACTTTTGCTTGTTAATTAAGCGATTAATCGCTTTCTTTTAGTGGGGATTTTTAAGAAACTAATATCTGTTGTACAGCCGGTATTAACACCGAGCCTCATTTATGGAGCATCAATAAAAGGCGACAGCTTAGTAATCCAATTATTGTATTTGGAATATCCAATCGATCCCAGATTGCCTAGGAATTTCGCAATAATTACCTAGAGCGGCCGAAAAAATTGAATTTTCTGTTAATTTGGCTCAACTACTCTTTATCAAGCTAATATGATTTGAAGGTTCAAAATCCTAGGGAATTTCATGAGGACAAAAATGCCTGAAGCTAATTGAAGTAACTTATTTATAACTTTCTGATATCTGCTTACGTTTTTCAGGTTTATCACATTGCATTAGTAATTAATCTTTTCCGCTCATAAAAATGTAATCGCCACTTTTTATTTCTTGTTTGCGAGTCGCATTACTATCGGTTATGTTTTACATGTTTTCTTACAAACAGTTTTATCGCCATTTCACCCTGTTTTACTCAGAAATAGCGAAACATGAAACCTTTGCGATATACGAAAAACGCGATGAAACATTCAAACACCGCACACCTCGAAAAGGTAACAATAACGTTACACAATAATTAAGCGAGTTGATAAATCGCTGGTTAAGTGATTAAGATCTTAAAAATAGCAATGACCTAGGCATTAAGCATCTATATAAATATTGGTTTGCAGATAAAAAGCTAAACGGATAGGACGTAATATTTAACCATATTCTCATGAACTACTAGGAAAAACATGTGCAGATGTGCGTCATAAGAAATGGAATTTTCATTGGTAGATGCACCAAAATTTCTTAATTATCACAATGAATTTGATTAGCTTTTTTCCAATAATTTGTCGTGTGAATGCCGCAAGAACTTCTCGCAACTTCAACTCAATGGCAATTTTTGTATGCTCTTACATTCAGGGTTTTATATTGTTCAATATGCTTAATATGCAGCTGCAAACAATTTGTAATTTTTTAAATATTGTGCGCCTATAGACGATTGAATTCTTTATTAAATTTTCTGCTTTGTCGGTTTTTGACTACAAATATTACATAATTATTTGTATTTGTGTGAAAAGCAGAATTATGCACGGAATTTAAAATTAATTTCGCTCAATCATTGAGAGTTTATTTGGTTTATTTTTCCTTTGAACTTTACGTGAAATATTTCTGTTTTGTTTAGGCTTCCACCATAGATGGACGTCGCAAAGGTGCCTGCCTTTTCTGCCAGGAATATTTTATGGAACTGTATCTTTTGGCCGAATTGAAGACGATCAGCCTGAAAGTGACCACAGTTGATATGCAAAAGCCGCCACCCGATTTCAGGACCAACTTTGAGGCGACGCCGCCGCCCATTCTAATCGATCGCGGAATGGCTATTTTGGAAAACGAAAAAATCGAAAGGCATATCATGAAAACCGTGCCTGGTGGTCACAATTTGTTTGTGCAGGTTCGTCGGCGAGCATTTGGAAAATTGGCGAAGACTGAGTGAAAATTTGTCTGTTAATTTCAGGATAAAGAAGTGGCCACGTTAATTGAAAATCTGTATACGAAATTCAAAATGTACGTAACCAAATACGAGTCGGCAGACACAAAAGAAGCCAGCCAGCCCTTACTTTCTCATCTTGAGAGGATCAATGACTTCCTAGTTAAAAGAGCAACGCGATTCCTCACAGGTAAACAACCACATTTGGTCCAAAAAGTAATAAATTAAATACATTGTTTATAGGCGACACAATGTCATGCTTCGATTGCGAATTGATGCCCAGACTCCAGCACATAAGGATTGGGGCCAAAGCTTTTAGAAAGTTCGAAATTCCAACCAAATTCACGGGATTGTGGAGGTGAAGCTTCATGAAACCATTCCTGTTTAATTGAGATCAATAGCAAAGTGTTCAATTTCAGATACATGGAGAACATGTACGAATTGGAAGCTTTCAGGCAAAGTTGCCCAGCCGATCAGGACATCATCAGCCACATTAAGAACCAACTGGGGCTGCGAACAACCGCTAGAATAGAACTAGAAACGCCGATTTACACGACTTCGATTCCCATCCTCGACTCGTAGAGATGTTCGCTTTTTGGTTCATTTTGTCAAGTTTTTCCCAATTAACCCCCGAAAAATAGTTGATATTTCTAACACCATTACTTTGTAGCTCTTCTACTGTCCGTATGCCACTAGAACAATCTTTTAAACACTGAGCTTCGGGTCATCAAGTCTTTTCCATAAGTGTTTTTAAAATCTACTGAAAATATTTTCAGCGGTTGTATCATGAAGTGAACAACGTCCCTCAGATGGTTTCTTTTGGTTTTTAACAAAATATTGTTCCTGACAACCAGCATTAACAAACCAAGTATTACTAGTAAGTCGTTTCGCATTTTATTAATCATCCATGTTAAGTTGTTTTCATTTCGAGACAAGAAGGTTTTTTATTTTTGAATTAACACAATTGTTGCGCGTCTTAATGGGCCAACAAAAGTTTGCCGCTGTTTTATATTTAGCAAAACTGTTGCTAAACTGATATATAAACGTATGTGCTATTTATTCCCTAATTTTCTATGTGATTAGAAGGTAATTGTTTATACATTTTTATTTTTTCTGTATATATTGAACAAATTATCTGCTTTTCAGTGAAAAAACCGTTATATGGTAAGAGAATTTATTTAATTTGCTATTTTGCATAAACACTGTTTAATCGCGCTATTTAACAATTGTCCTAATTCTATTTATTGTTTGAGGTGTTTTTGAACGTCTACAATCATTGCCTTTGAATAGGCAACTCCCGAGGTATTTCCTACCAGAGTGCCTTAAAGCTTTAGACGTAATTTGGTCGGGTTTTTTAAAATTTACACGCTTACGATAATTAATTAAGCTACATTAATAACGTTTTAGGTGTATTTATTCGACAAACTTATCTTTTAAAATTCCCCAGTAGCTTGCCGTCTGATTAAATTATTTGATGTAAATTAAGGTTTTTAAAAGGTGAAATGTTTTTGATCAACAATTCCAAAATACTGTTTTCCACTATTTATCAGGTACTGTTTCTTGTATAGCTTTATTACAAAGTAGTAGGACATTGTTTCGTTATAGGTATTAAAAAATTAAAACACATTTTTGAGGATGTTTAGTAAAACCTGTGCTCCAACATCGTCAGATCCGATCGTAACTAGACCTACTATACCCATATTCTTGAAATCAGCAGGTATATATTTTTTTATATGCAAAAAGGTGAATTTTAAGGAGTTCGCGCGCTCCAAAGAAATAGAAAATGGAAGCAAAAAATTAGTACATTTTAATTGAACGTTGTGACTTATATTTTCCTCTTTATACGTCCAACAATGTTCCTAAATATCCGTGTAATTCCGTAAATTTAAAATAAGTTATTTACAATGTAGCTGGAATTTTTTATCTTATCGCATGCCTCATGTTGTGTTTTACAGGATTCATGTACTTAATGTTATGAAAATAGGCCTGGTGCGGCAACAAGCTGCTTAGAAACCGATAGGTAAGTAGAGCGGTAAGGCCCCAAACGCGCATTTTGCCTCCAGTGAATACCGGCATTGAGGCGAATGCGCCCCGAAACTGAGTGTAGCCCAAGTTCTGCGGTTTGCAGAGATCTTCAAGGGGCACAGTGAAAACGTCCTCCACTTCTGAAGAGTTCACTTTGAGGTCATATTTTCGATATTCTCCTTTGATCTGGCCTATCACAGGAGTCACGCTGGTTTCTAGGCGCGTCACTATAACATTGCCGCTTCCCCAGACTTCAATGTTAGTGCGTTCGATGCCCAATTCCTCCTCAGTCTCCCTTAGAGCGGTTTGTTCCAGGTTTCTATCGGTCACGTCCTGCATGCCGCCAGGAAAACTCACTTGGCCCCGATGGGATTTCAAATTTGCCGCCCTCAAAGTGTACAGTATCGCCACCTTTCCATCGACTAGACAAAGTGGAATTAGCACTCCAGCTCGCTTGTTTGGTTCATGCGCGATCATCCTTATCGGCTTCATGCTGGAGAATTTGGCCACCGTTCTTTTGATGTTTTCATCACTCAAAATCACTTCCGGGGAATATAAGCTGGAGTATCGGCATCCCAGCTTTTTGAGGAGGGAAACTCGCGGTTTAAGGAGCATGACGAATCGGAATTCGAGTCATTTAAAGACACAGCACTTGAATTTGTTATGACTTTTCAGTCGGGTGTCAACCAGCTGATTCACGTGACGCAATTTTTTTATCACCAACACGCCAAGCAAATCACCAAAGGCCCCCCGTGATATTCTTTGCCGCACTGACACTTTTCGCACTGAATCCTACGGGATTTAACGCTCTACGGATTCACAGGATTTTAAGACCAGCTCGCTTCTCTTTTATTAAAATCGATATTTTATGTTGAACTCAGTCAAGGTCTGGCCTTCCACTACAAAGTGTTGTAACTGGCAAATTTCGGAAATTTGCGGTTACTGCGACTAATTGGTGTGTTTGATTGAGAACATTCAGTGCATATACATATACAGGGTATGCAGGAGTATTTTCAAGAAATTGCCCTTTGGATCGTACAGACCATCAGCTGCTATATTATGCCAAACACACTGTACATTTCCTCAAAACTTAATTCTCATTTGTATATACTTTCCTGACTGTGTTTCAATTTCAAATGAAATTCATTCCTGGGTTTTAGTCATTTATTGTCTCTATTTATCAATCAAAATTTTTTTTCGCTGTATTTTTCCACCATCATCAGTTTTTATGTGGCAGGCATTTGAAAATGCATGCCAAGGCTTAAAGCAGCAACAACGCTGATGATGGTGAAAAAATACACCAAAACGTATTTTGATTGATAAATAGAGACAATAAATGACTGAAACCCAGGAATGAATTTGATTCTTAATTCTTATAAAAAATAAAGTATTTGAAAAAGACAAGAAAATTATTTTGATCTCCATCATTTTTTCACTTTAGAATTGTTAAACTTTACTTTGGTTGATCTGTATAATGAAGCAAAAAGTCTCTCACTCACTTTAGTCCTTTGTTATATTATATATATGGGATCTTTCATCAGAAAGAGGCTCATTTGAACGAAGTAATGGATGTCTGAGAATAGCCCTGGTTTGTCCATATGGAAATAATGCAATAAAATGTTCTTTAGGTCAATAACTGAAATAACCACTATTTTTTCATTTAAAAAATTTAAATTTTTGAGGTTTCAAATGATTTCTGCCCTGATACAGGCGAAAATGTCATATGACATGAACATTTTTAGGAGTTGGCACAGTGCTGCGCAAATGATTTGGTGCGCCAACCCAACGCACCGGCGCAGTAACTCGGTTCCGTTGCTGCGAACATGTTGATGAACTAATTTCACTTGTTTTTAGATTTATTTTAACGGCCATTTATTAATAATATTTCAAGTCTTCAAAATTTCAGAATTTTTCAGTTTTAGCAAAGTTACTCTTCCTTCTAAACTCTCAATTTCCTAGTTTCACTTAAAAATACTGACAATCTTGAGATATTTTCTGCAAAAAAATATAAAATATATTAGTTTGTTATATTATATATGGGATGTTTCACGAGAAAGAGGCTCATTTGAACGACATAATGGAAGTGTGAGAACAGCCCTAGTTTGTCCGTATGGAAATAATGCAATAAAATGTTGTTTAGATCAATAGCTGAAATAATCACGTTTTTTTTTTAAACAATTAATTTTTGAGTTTTCAAATGATTTTTGCCCCAATGAATTTTACATTAACATTTTTTCATTCATTTTATCGCCTCCTTCGTCAATTTTTAAAAAAAGGTTTGAAATCCCTTTCCAGCTTCGAATTTGAGACAAAAATAAAATAATTTTTTTACCAAAAAACAAACCGATTAAGCGAGTTTATAAAATATTATTTGTAAAACTCGTCACCCCTATTTTTCTGAGTCTGTAAAGTTTCTAATGTAAAGTAAACTGAATTTTTATCTTGCTTAACTTTCTACTCAAAAACGCTCTATTTTGTAGAGTTTCATTTGAAAATACTGAAAATCTGGAAATCTTTTTTTACACCAAAAATTCCAAAATAAATGTATAGCTTTGCAGGGATTTTATAAAAACTTTTTCAGTCGAATTCGGGACGAAAATAAATTTCTCCCGATTTTCCCGAAAATCATTAAGATTTTCTCCAAAACTGATTATAAAGCTTAGTTTTAACCAAAAGTGCAAAAACAAGTTTTTCATTCCTGACAAGCGTGAGGTCTTTCCAGCCAAAAATTACAAAATTAATTTTGTTTTTAGAAAACTTTTCAGCTTCGAATTTGGCAGAAAAAACAAGTAATTTTATTTGGTTTTTTCTAAAAGTAATTGAGATTGTCTTGAAAATACGACTAGAGAGCAAAAGTTCAGGTCTCCAGTTTTAGCAAAGTTTTTTAGGCAATTCTTTCTACGCAAAAAGCGCATTATTTTTTTGTTTTACTTAAAAATACTGACAATTTTCAAGTATTTTCTGTCAAAAATTTTTAAATAAACTTTGCCACTAAACACTCGCCTCCTTAACCGCTTTGTAAAAATGTGTCAAGAAACGTTTGCGGCCTCAAATATTGGCAAATGGAGTCTTTTATTCAAAGAAATACGAGATCGATTTTACGACAAAACTCGTCTTCTTAATTGTCTTATTCGAATACTCGTTTTACTTTTGAATTTGCGACAAAATCGAAACAAAGTTATCTTGTTTTTTTTTAGAAAAAATTTAAGTTCCTAAAAAACGAGCAGACAAAGCAAAAGCATATAATCAACTATTTGGAAAACTCTTCACCCTCATCACTCTGAAGATTTTTAAGTTTCTTCAAAATTTGCGGTTTTTCCGATTTAGACCAAATATTCCAAAAATACTTAGGAGTTAGCGCAGTGCTGCGCAAAAGGTTTGGTGCGCTAACACAGCGCACCCGCGCAGTTCTCCTAAAAATGTTGATGACCTTTTTTTCAGCTGTTAAAATTGCAGTTTCTGTCATCGGTAAATGAGTTCTAACGCATTAACCGATGAGTTAAAACTCATTAACTCAGAGAGCGGCTACAACTCAAAAGCGCAACTCAACACAGTGTTACACGGGCCTACTCGCTACGTCCTTAAACATGCTGCTGCCCTAATTAATACAAGACGAAATCTTCATGTGCCAGCAAAATTTCGCCATTTAGAACAAAAAAAATAGCGTACAAGGAAATAAAGACAATATTTTACAGGATTTTCGACGCTAGTCACATTTAATTTAAAGCTGGAATTCAACTAAAAAGCTCTGTAAAAATACGAATAAAAACTCATAGAATGGAAAAAACGCAACACGTACACCGCTCGGTTGCAATAATTCAATATTTCCATTTTCAATTATTCCTGTATTGTATTTCCGCTGAACTCATTGACTTTTTAGGCACGTGTTTCTATACTTTATTATATTTTATACATCATTTTTTCATTATCACATCTACTGATTTTAAACCACGATACTTTGATGGTTTCTAATACTAAATGGAAAACTGAATACATAATTAAATATTAAATAAATACACTTAAGTAGATTTTGTTTATTCCTACACAAGTCTTTTTTGCTCATTTACTGCCCACTTACATACACTTAGAGTTTTTAATGCACTTTTACGTTGATTTTTCCGATAGGGTTTTTGTGTCCAAAGAGTCCAAAAATGACCTGGGATTGTAGCTCGGCTGTTCGCCACCTAATTCTGCCGGCAAAACGTCTCTAAAAGTCCAGAATTTATAAAGAATTAATCCATGCAAAAAACAGTTTTGTTGCAGTCATCGCAGTTTCAAAGCTAGTTTTCTGGCAATCGAGAAATTAAAATAATTTAATTGTTTAATGTTAATAAGACAATATTCCCACGTGTGCAATGATTCCAAAAAAAAACATCTTAACAAATTTGAAAACTAAAAAAAGGCTAAAATGCTGTCATTAAAAAACTGAAAAGTGACTAAAAATGAAATTATTTATTAAAAACTTGTTCATATACTCGACTTACCGGTGAACTAATTCATGTAATGTGCTCAAATTGTTTCCATGTCTGAAAATGTGTTCTTTTATTTCCTCTTTCAGAAACGGTTTTATTACTGTTAAAGCCGCATCCACATACCATGGCTGGCCAATGAAATGAATGCCTTTAAATCGAACTGGAAAACAATCCTGCAAAAACAGAATAAATAAAAGTTGGTAAGTTTTTAAGACTGGGATATTTATAAACTTAATAATAATAAAATAACCTTCTTCAAGACTCAAATTGGATTTTGGTCTGATTGATTTTTTAAAATTTAAACAGTTAAAACCTCACCTGCAGTCCTTCGATCATCAGTCTTAAAATTGAAGGTTTCAAATGGGACGTTTGTTTATACGAAAACTCGGTCCAATCCACAATGACCACCACCCCATTGGCTTGATTGTGCAAATCGTTCGTTACTTGTTCCAAACATACCAACATCGCCCTGTATATGCTTAGCAGGCTGTAACTGCAATCCCAGTTGTTTGCAGTTAAAAGTAACACACATCGCCCCTTTCGGTCCTTGTCCTTTAGTACACCTGGTAGTCCTAAAGATGTTTAAAAAAAATTGTGCGCCTTTTAGAAGAAATTGTCTTCTTAATTGCAGGATGGTTGATTTTTCTTGGGAATTCGGTCTGGGCAGTGGTGAGGAAAAAGAAAAACTTTTTTAGCTACCAAGCTTACCAAGCCAATTTATGCCCAGACCGAGTTCCCAAGAAAAATCAACCATCCTGCAATTAGTCGATATCGATCGAGAAACTGAACTTGTTGTCTTCTTAAGACAGCTAAACTGATTTGGAGCACTTTCGGTCTTGAAATTTGAAAATTTGCTTGAAAATCTTCAACGTAAGTGCTGTGGCCTCGAAATCAGTTTAGGTGTCTTTAAGAAGAGCGTTTTCTTTAAAAGTCATCCAATTTTTGCCTGGATTAAAGCAACAGTTAGCGCATTTCACTCTCTGTGAAAAAACTTACCATTTTCTAGTGCCTTCCGTACATCAGCAGAGTCCAAATTTAAATCGCGAAAAATATCCGGATTCCGTTTCCTGTACCAGTAAAAGTTTTTCAGCGTCTCAAAACTGTCCTCCAGTATAAACTTTCGGGCAAACAGGAACTTTTGGAGCGTCTTCTCATCTTGCTCTATGTGATTTTTGAATTCGATGTCGCCGCAACTTTTTATCACGTTCCTTAGAGCTTTGATGGCCACTTCCCTATCACTTGCAGTGAGGTTCTTGTAGAAGGTTTTGTTGATCGATTTGCTGAATAAGTCGTTATTCCTCCAACCGTAGTCGATGTATTCGGACATATTCGCACTCTGAAACAAAACGGTTTTTAATTTCTGAATAAGAGATAAGATAGAATCAAATAGAAGCACGTGAGAAAAGGGCGAAACAAAGTGAAAATTATTCAACAACGTTGAACTAGGTTGAATCTAGCGACTAGTACTTACTTAGTTTTAATTTTTTTGCTTATTTTTCTACCTTGATGCATTCTGGACTCATTTTTTTCTTTGTCGCCACCTCGCTAGCTTAAACATTAATAAGAACCGACAATGGGAGAATCCAGACAGCTTTGCCAAACAACGCGCTAATCTTTAAGCCATTAAAAAATAAAACGCATCACATACTCAGATAACCAGCTTCAGTTGTAAATTATCATAAAATGCGCTTTTATATATAGTAAGCAGAGTCTGCACTAAATGTTTATTTGCCTTATGACCCATTTGCACTAATCGCACGCAGGATAATCGTTGTCTGACGCGTAAAGCAGGTATGGTTTACCTGCGGTTTATTCTTGAATACGTTTTAAAATTAAACGAATTTTGTGAAAAAAAAATCCGAAATAGACTGATGTAACTGAGGGAAGAGCATTCAATTCTCTATCCAACGATGCCAAAACGAATTTTCTGGCTCGAATGGTTCTTGAGAAACCTCGAAAAAAGCAGCGTCATGTTCAAGTAGATTTTGCAACTAAAAAAAAACCACGCAAATCTAAAACTTCTTGAATTCAAGCATTTTTTGAGAAAACTGCCAACTTTCCTTATCGATGGTTCACTTGCTAAAAAGGCCATTTATTTCTCTCTAGAATGACGTATAAATGAGCGTTCTTGCTCATTTTGCCTCCGAGAAATGAGCAAAAATGCGACGGAAAACATGAAATTTTGGCATAATCTTGCACTTAAGTGTCTGATATTCAAATTTCGCTTTCTGGGTCCAAACCACTCAAATTTACTCACTCACGTTGTTACGACTGAATCGACTTTTCAATTCTCTATCCAACGATGCCAAAACGAATTATGTGACTCGAATGGTTCTTGAGATACTTCGAAAAAAGCAGCGTCATGTTCAAGTGGATTTTGCAACAAAAAAAACCACGCAAATCTAAAACTCCTTAAAAACTTTCTAAAAAGGCCATTTAGTTCTCTTTCGAATGATGTAAAAACGTTCGTTACCAAAAACGAGCGTTCTTGCTAATTTTGCTTCCGAGAAACATGCAAAACGGGACGGAAAACATTAAATTTTGCAATAATCTTACGCCACCCTTGCCCAAAACGACGATAATTTTTCTAATTTCATAGACAACAGAAGACTGTATTTTTCTACGTAACCTGGATTCGCCCCTGAATCAGAGGGACGATCCAGGATGAAAATCGAAAATATCATCTGAATTAAGCGCAATGAAGAATTTTGCAAAGAAAAACTACAATATAAAATCAAAGACCAAAAATGCGGCAAGATTAAAAATTGGACAAAAACATACATATGATTGAACATGAACGATGATCCGAAGAAAACAGATGTCGAAAACACCAATTTCATTAACAAAAAAACATTTAAAAACACTTCAAATAACATATTTAAATATACTTCATAATACCTGTTCTTTAGCACTTTGACTCAATATCACAGAAAACATAATGCAATCAATCTGCGACTTTTTGGGGCTTGCCTCATATCACAGAAGCATGATGAAGAAGTTCTTCACAAGTTGGCACATTTTCAGGCAAATTTTCCGAATAAAGCACGTTCAAATGCAGATGTTCGGACTATGAAATATTCGAAATTGATCAACATTCCGATATTTTTGCGCAAGTTTTCCCATTACTAAATGTGACTCCATATCTTATCAATGGATAATTGATAGGAATGATATTGGCGATTTCTAATCTATTCGAATAAGTGTGAAGGGCACGTGAAATGTGACGAAAGTTGTTTGCTTAAGAAGTTTTCTAACATTAAGTTTAGAAAGTATTTAATTTACTTTGCTTCTCTAGTGTTCACGTTAATAATGTTCTCTCATTCGACAATCTGTAGCAAAAGCATTCGTCTTTCCTTTAACTAATGATGTTTTTCTATCACTATCAACTGTTTTGACTCATTTCGAGTTATCCTTTTTAGATATCCAGAAATGTTAAACTAATGACCGTATTAACAAAGAAGCAGGTGATAATCACAGTTAAGTGCAATGTTTAGAATTAAAGACCTTTTTAAACTTGTTCAAAATAAACAGCTGGCAAAACGGCACAATAAAACACTTATATTATAACTGCGTGCTACTCCGAGGACGCGTTTCGGACCTATTAGTCCTCGTCAGTTGCATATGACTCAATCAAAAGTTTGCCCTTTCAAAGGATTCGATGTTTCGCTAGCACACATGGCTACCTATCATCTTCAGTAGTCACTTGAAATTTACGCCTTTTCTATCGCTGTAGACACTTTCCACAAGCCACACTTTTCTGTTTAGTTCAGGAAATTCTATAGTAAATTTCAGACATGAAATGTAAAAAAATTCTACATTTTCCGGTTGCTTCTGCTTAAGCTAAAGCCGCTCGTATAAGCCTTTGAGCAAAACAGGCAAAAATCGATCAGAAAGATTTGAAATAACCTCGTGCGCTCTCTTAAACATTGCAAACTATTAAACGAGAACCTGATGTTTCGCAACTTACCGTTGGTACCAAAAGCGACCATATGAACCAACTGAACTTAAAAGCAGTAAAATGAGTAAAAACACAAAACACACAACTATTGACTGATAAAACTGGTCTATGTATGTCTTTGGCTCGTACTAGTCGTACTTGTTTGCTGGTCGCTGATGACTCAGGAAGTTTTTAACTTTCGTTAAGTCAATCGTGGGCTAACTGCATTACAACTGCGAACCGTGAACGTACAGTCAGAACCACCAATAAAACTTAATTGGGTTCATTTATACTTGGTCCACCTTTGCGTGGTTTTGTTAATTTTTTCTCTCAATTTGCCGCATCACTGTTTAGTCACTGTATACCAAATGACTAATACACCCGGAGGCCGGAGAAGAAGAACCCTTTTTCCCTAGCTGCTTCTGGTACCCAAAATTACAAAAATCCTTTCCCCAAAAAAATTCAATCAATCAATCCTAAAAAAAGTGATTGACCACTAAGGTTGCCGCCTCAAAGTGTTTTTCCTCGGACTGTACAAACAATTTCGAATGGGTGCCACTGGTGGAGGGGGAAATCTACCATGATGGTACCAGAGCAGGACGACTAGCCATGAGTGAAACCGGTGGGACGTAAGTCCTCACTTGAACCTTAATGCACTTTAATTACCTCCATTTTTGTCGGACGCAAATCTGGTCTAAACATGGTTTGGTACCATTGGAAGTACCATGGTAGTGACGCGATGGTCTTTCTGATTACGTCTAGGTCGGGCGTCTCCTTCCTTCCGGCTTCAACTGTCCGATTTTGCCTTTTAACTGCTTCTTTCGAGCATTTCTTAAGTGTATTTTGGGCGTTTTTTAGTTAAGTTCTACTGGTTGAGGCGGATTCATGTTTTCAACTTTTTTGTTGGGGATTTTGCCGAAAAAGTTTTGTCTTGTAAAAGCGATTTACGAGACGATTTCCTCGCGTCTTCTATTAGTGTTCATGAAACTATCTATTGAAGTAAGACTCTTTGTCAATCTGTAATAAAAGGCGTGAGGAAATTCTGTTTTTTAACACTAAAATTTTGAAGCGAAATACCCAACAGCATAGTGGGAGCTGGGTTGACACTTTTTGAATTTGTATTATTTATTCTTTATTTTCATTGTACGAGCTAAATTTTGTATTGTTTTTACCGTGCGATTTCTTCACATTGTTTTTTAATTATTAAATAATATAATGTAATAATAGGTAAATTAGTTTAAGCGTTTTTAATTGTTTTGAATTTCTCAACCGCCAGATTTGAACTTTTGTAAAAATCGATTCGATTAACTCAATCTTCACTGATTAGTAGATTTGAGTGTCAAAAATGTTCAATCCATGTCCTGGTAAAATTCACCTAAATAAAACACGCAAAGGATGTTGCATAAGCAAAATAACACTTAATAAACTTTAGATAAATATTTCAAAATCGTCAACATATTTTCAAGCAGATCGAAATGAATAAAAATTCATCTAGATGTTCCCAATGGATTGGTCTGGATCTTTTGTCTTTGAAGTTAAGAAATTTCCCGTTTTTCATGTGTCTGATGCACTCGAAACAAGACCATTTAGACCCTTTAGGCCAACTTTCGAAACAAGCTTAAGTAATTTTTTCGCTCGGATAATAATAATCGGAGTCCGAACATAGAATAAAATAATTTAATTGAATTCAAATGTTTCCTTTGTTCTCAAACAGTCGCGAATGTTGGTCCAAGAGGAGCGAACGAGCAAACGAACGTTAACACAAACGTTTCACATAACAAAATGTATTTATTGTATATAGAAGACCACTTTACGATTAATCAGTTGACAGCATAACAGTCGATACTGTATCAATTCTCATTCGACAAATTAATATTTTTATTTTTATTTTATGTAGAACATGACTCGCATACGGCAGTTCCATCCGCTATTTTTAGCAAGTAAATAGTACAAATTCGATTTTTTTTTAATGCAAGACTCGTATGTCTGTTTCCGGTGCTAATCGGTAGTGCGGTCATGTCGGGTCTCTTCATTAGTGGTACCTGATCGCTTTTATCGGCGTTAATCGCTTTTGGGACGCGAAAGTTGGAAAGAAAAACGTGCACCCAAAGAACAGCACAAGTGTTGTAATATCGGTTTGCGTATATTTTCTAGAAGCGCAATTAAGTTTGTTTGATTATTAATTGAATTAATAGCAATGGCTATTATCCTTTTTTACAGTCTATTCTGTAAATTCAGCCAATTTTAGACTCGCCAGATTATTTGTTCGTAACCTTGCAGATTAGATTATAACGGAGTTAAGAAGGCAAGTAAGAAAGTGCGTTTGATTATGTTTCCCCCCCCCCAATTGCTCAATTTTCAGGTTGAATTAACGACATTAACGTACCGTTAAATAATAAGAAAATAGTAAATTAAAGTTTGAGTGAATTTATCAATAATTAACTACACAAATTGGTTGAGAAACTCTATTGAAGGCAGTAAAAAAGCGGCAAAGGCAGGCTGTGGTCCTTCGAGCTGGTTGAAACTTTTCATTTTTGTTCACTGAAGCGATTGGTTCGGAAAAATTCATAGAAAGTTCGGGAAAATAATGAAAACTTCAGTTCTTCAGAGATGATTTTTTTGAATTTGCCTTTTTTCTCAAACCCTTCAAAAAAAAATCCTGATGTCTCCTAAATCCTCTCTTGCTTGCAGCCACAAACTAAAGAAAAGTCTTTTGAAAATTAGCCAAGTTTTTGATAATTTCCTATACAATTACTGTTTCAAATCCACCCATTATTACCATCCACTTAATTGTTTTTATTAAAACTACGCTTTTTACTTGATGATGGTTTGTAACTGAGTACCGCCGGTACCAGAATGCACTTGCTTAAGTAGTACCACGGTACCGCAATAACTAGCATTAGAATGGACACCATGTAACGCATTTCTCTTGCTTTTGCATCAACGGCACACCAAAAAATAACCAGATTTAACACTTTGTGCGTTTTTTCTAAAACCCTCTGTCCTGTCTTTGATACACTAATTGAACTGCCAACAAGCTCCATCTTAAAGCCTCAGTAAAACACTTTAAAAATGAGGAAAAACATTGGTAAAAAACTCTCATTATATGGTAAAACACCGGTTTGTTACGTCATAGTCGACCGATAGCGAGAGTTGGTATTTGAGAACCCCCCTTTTTCAAAGCAACCAGAGGGGAACCAAAATTAATGTTGTTTCTAGAATTACAAGCTGAAAAGTGTAACAAACTTCAATCGGGTACAAGAAATGGTACCAAGCACGAATCCGGTTGTGCCGCTCTTAACTGCGTGTTGCGCGTATTGGCTGGTGTGTTTTTAAGAAAAATTCACGCGGGTGAGTAGCAAAAAACATCCACCAATTTGGGGCAAAACTTATTGATTGGACGGTGCGAAATGTTATCACGTCACACTTCAACGGCTTTTTTCAAGGTTTTTCGCAATGGAAATTGAATCAGGCGCATGCCAACTATAAATAATAAAATATACAATTGACCTTAAATTTTTGTATATGTATGAAAAAGTATGCATTAAAAGCGAAAGGAGATTAAAGATATATTTATAGAACGCCAACACATTATATTGCCAGGAAAATATATAACTTAATAGAGATTTTGTAACCGGCAGGCGGCACAAGGAAAAATTATGATCGAAATACAACTTTGAATTGCTAGTGAAACTGAAGAATAGACTGAGAAGAAATAATTTGATTAACATTCGAAACCGCACAAAAAATCAGCATAAAAGAAGCAAAAGACGGACAAAAAACGTTGGTTTTCCAAGTGAGCAAGGCGACAGCAAACCTTAATCGCCCTGTATTAATTTCACAATTTATGCGGCCATCACTGGCATTTAACTAAATTTACAAATTTATTCAATTAGTGACGCTGCGTATTTTTCTACCTTGCAGTAACACCGTTTTTATTTACTTTTCATTTAGGAGATTTAGCAAGATTTCTAGTCAATTACCGAACGTGGTGGGTTTTCGGGTTTTTTGAGGAAAATGTTTCTTTGGCAATGGCAACAGAAAACTCGCTAGTTTCATTGGAAAGTTTGCAAAATTTAGATCGAAAGCACAGCAACCACTGAAGATGTAAGGCGCTCGTGTTTGAGAAACGTTAGAAAAGAATTATTTACAACGTCAGGCTAAATGCTCGAAACGTTAGCAGTTTTAAGACATTTGTATTGGTAAATGTAGTATATCTGGTACGATATTCGATCTTGAGGAAATTAAACTTTGAGAAACTGTAAAAATGTTTTTAAATATTCCTGATTTTTAGGTTAGTGTGTAATTCATGAAACTAACTCAAACATTTTTTACTGCTTATTAAGAGTTTTGTACTAAATGTGTGCAAACTATTTAAACGCAATATTAAATGCATTGCACTTGATGACTTTTTGGTTTGAAGAAAACGTTCTTAGTCTTAGCAAAACATGACGCTCGTTAAAGCAAATTTTCGCGAAAATGATCGGAAATACCGAAATAAAACAGGAGTACACAAGTAATGCAAAAATGATGCTCTTCAAAATTTTGCATTTAATTTCATGTGCAACATACCGGGTGGGACATAAATGTCGATGAAATTGGTCGTAAGAGGAGCTTGCAACAGTTCCAACATGAGCGTCATTTGCCAACTGCAAAAATGCAAGTTTGCACAAATTTTTCAATTTTCGAGTTTGGAAAAAATTGCAATTGAAAATAAATAATCACTTGTTGCTAATCTGGTTAATGGCTTTCGGATTTAGCAACTTGGAACCCGCATTTTTTTAAATGTTAATGTTGCTAAGAACAATGCATTTTATTAGCTTCACTCTATATAGAAAATTGTCAACTTTAAACAGCAGGTACATTTTTTTGATAAGATTATCAGTTGTGTGGGAACAGCGATAATAAGCGACTTTTAGTAGCGCGGCCTTGTTTTTACTTAATATTACAGTACGCGTAGTTCTCCAGTTTACAGATGTTTGGTCCAAAAACGACCTAAAATGCATTTCACTTGGGATATACAGGGTCCATAATGGTAAGCATGCCCTGAATCATGTGGCTTACCTAAAATATGGGAAGAACATGCCGTTTACTAGCCCAAACAACAGCTCTTTGATTTATTCTTGTACGAGTCAATAATTTGAAATGAAAGAGGTTGTTGGAGCATCGTCTTCAGAAAAACTGTTAAATTTCCTTTTGAAATTTTTTTAACTTGAGTACTTTCGACTTTAAATCAATACCCCCGATAATTTTGCATACTTCTTACAATCCTGTTTATCTGCTGTTTTTTTTATAGAGAAACCAATTTTTTCGGTCCATTTGATAGACCACGACCAAAAAACTGTTTCTTTGCTCCCATTTCATGCAGAAGTCGAATTTTACGCATGATTAGCCGGGTTGAAGACTCTAGTCAATGGGGGCAAGCTGAAAGCTTCAATCAAGCGCTTAAAAACGCAATAATTTGCCTCTTAAGGAGGTTGCGAGTATTATTTAAGGCACTTTGAGTAAAACGTAGTGAATTTTCCAGCGCCCTCCTTAAATTGAAACCTAGAAGCAATGAGCGGAAAAATGTTCCCTGCAGGGCCGCAATCTCTGGACACCATCATGAACCATCAGGAGCTATCGACGCCACCCGATTCCAAAATCCCCGTACCGTCATCTCCCATCCCTTTCCGAAGACATAATAGTCTTCGGCTAAAGGGAGAAGGAACGCCCAAGATGTACGTGAGGAATTTCAAGGAGGAAGCTTGGTCGAAAGGAACCGGAAGCAGAAGAGCAAGGTTTGAACGGAAAATATTAATTTTCAAACTTCTCTGGTTTTGCAACGTTTTTTCGTTGGACCTGGTCATGTTCTCTCGGTGTAATCGACGCGACAATGCAAACGCCCCGGTTTAATCAATACCATTCCCGTTTCCTGATAGCCAAGATCTGAGCCAAACAGGAAACAAATCTGTGGCAGGAACAAGCAGGAAGTCTGCCAAAAATCCTCCACTGCAACGGGGAAACTCGTTTATGGAGAGGGGTGAAAAAGGGATCGGTAAGGATGGAGGCAAACTATCGGCGCCTCATAGACCTAATTCAGTCAAGATTGGTTGTAGACCAGAAACCGATTGCTTGCAAGGAAACGACACATCGGGAAGGATCAGGAGTTTGGTAAGTTTACTTGCTCGTTCAAAGCTTCAAATTCTCAAAAATCTTAGTGTTTTTACCAGTTTTACGCAAATGAATTATCTGTATATTGCGTTTCTCTGCCTCGAAAGCAGCCGGTGTTTGCTGACTTTGCAAAAACAGTTAATATAAACTGTTGCCGATTTGTATAGGATTGATTGCGGCCTTAATTCGGCCACCATATAAATGAGCAACCAATCAATTAAGCTCTCGTTGTTGTTGTAAATTAATCGAAATGAACAAATTTCTAGAAACTTAGAATGGACTTAGACCGATTTTCACGCAACATTTAACGCTTACCAATTAGACCAAGCAGGAGCATTTTTAATTTCCGATGGAAATTGCCACATTGATCTCTGGGAAAAAAACGCCTGCCAAGTCAGGTGGCTTTCTTTTATTTGCCGACCAGTTAGTGACAATAGCAATTAGTTGAAACAAGACAATGTGAACTAGTGGCACACAGACACTCTGATTAATTATTGCTCGTTTTTCCTATGTTTCATATTCTAATGATTCTGCAATCGACCTACTGTGGCCTAGTTTAGTAAACGTGCTCTTGACCAATAATCTTCTTTGGCAATTTTTCAAATTCAACTAGTTATCGAATGAAACACTCCGGAGAGTGTCAGATACTGTAAGTATTAATATATGGGGATTAAACAGAGAATTTATCATAAAATATCGGGAAAATCGGGGAAATGGCAACGGGTAACTTTCGCACTTGCATGGTTTGCATCGTTAAAGGTAGTAGGTAAGTTTGATGCTGTAGAAGGTGATTTTTCTAAATATTTGCACTTCAAGTCAAGTAAAAGGACTTCAGTTTTCAAAGGTCTATAAAATATGCACCATTTAATCTGCTACTTTGTATGAATTATTTCGCATATAATGTTTTTACCTTTCAATGAAATCGTAATCACTGGTAGCTAAATAACAAGTTAATTGGCTTGGTTATATGTCTTAATTAGTAGAAATTTTGCACATTTTCAACATATTTAACTCCAGCTTATTGCAACCATGCAAGAAAGTACAATTTTAAAGCATAAAACCTATTACTTCGATTGCACGATTTACCATAAAAATTAGTCGGTTATCTAACTCGACTGTTCAATGTATAATGAGGAAATGCTGCTTGAATTCATGTTCATTATAAATTACTGTTCTTTTTGGCATAATAATCAATAACTTATTAAAAACTTGTTGATAATACTGATAAAATAATCTAGTGACAACAATGTACTTAATATGTAAAAGGTTTCAGAGAAAAAGTGGTTTAACCTTCATGAGCTTTCGTTTTCGTGACGGTTTTGCAATTAAAAGGGGTTTCTGATAATTAATAAAAATCAATAATAAGCAGGAATGGAAATTATTTAATATTTTAAGAACTGGTAATTTTTTGGGCACTTTGGGAGAACGATTTCTAAAAGCCCGAAGCAGCCGTTCCAGCAGAAGTTCGGTTAAAACAAACCCCCTTAAAAAGGCAAATTCTCCCCATTGAATATGGCTAAATAAATAAACTAATCAATAGCAAGCCATAAGTTAGTGAATAATAAAGGAACAGCTTGGGTTATTTTGGAAACACTTTCCATGTGCGGCTCATTACGTGCCTGAAATCGATTGAAAAAATGTTCTTTTACTTTAAAAAATTCGATAGAAAATACCGATGATTTTCTTGAAAGATTTGGTGCTCTCTTTTAGCAATTGTTTGATTTTTTGAATTTACTTTTTTTTCAGGTCGCACTAACTTTTCGCCTACTCCTTATTGTTGAACAGTCAAACCGATTAATTTAGCAAATTTTCACTCAGAAACAATGAACCCAAACAAACCGAATGTAAATTTGCCTTTGAATTGTTTATCTTTCTTCTTCGACGTAACTCAAAGTTTCACTTTCGCTTATTTGAAATCGCGTGACTCGTATATTTACTAATTATGTTCGTCTACAAGTTTAATCAAATGTCCCGACAATTTCCAGCTGTTTCTGCAGCAATTTTACCAATTTCTCTTATAAGTAAATGCACATATTACCACAAAGAAAACACCAAATTTTCTGGAAGATATCTAGCAGAGAAAATCCGTTATGGAAAAAGTTGATAATTTCGGCGTCTAAAAGTGAAAAACTAATTATTTTCGCACTCATTCGCTCTAAAAAGCTTCTTTTCCAAAATTCGTTGCCTTTTAAAACATCAATTTACACAGAGTTTCTCTTGCAGTCATTATCATTGTCCAACACCCGGCTAAATAGCCCAAAATCACCGTCTCTTTCCATATCTTCACCATCGGGAAACTCAATTTCGCCGGGACACATAAAGAAATATTCGTCCAGCCAATTGGATTCGTGGGATACTGACAGCGTTACCAGCATAGGCAAGTAAACCCATTGTTTAAAACCATCTAAATCACCGGAAAAAATGACGGCAAACAGGAAATATGCAGAAATAATGCAGCAGGAAGCGTAACCATTATGCGTCTAGCTAACATTCACAACCACCAAGAATAGTGACGTAAATCCGAAACTTTGTTAATGATTTTTACTAAATTTGATTGTAGCAAGCAGTGTGGCATCCTGTGATCATGCAAGTGTGGCCAGAAATGGTACAACTTTCTCAGGAAGAAGTATGAAGTAAGTTGAAGAATAAATTGCTTCCGGCTGCAATTTTGCGTTGAAATTGACTGTTTAATGTATCACTTTAGGTATGTTTTTCATTGCAATCAACATGCGGGCTCTACAGGAGAGGATTACTTAACTCCCACCCAAAGAGCTCACAGGTAACAGTTTTTTTCAACTTCGATAACGGTTCTTTAATTACTCGCGCATTTAATTGAAGTTTATTACACTTATTAAACTAGAAAGTTTCGAAAGCCCCTATTGGAAGCCCAATAATGTAGTTGTTTTAAAGACAGGTCCAAAAGCTGAAGCATCTTCTTCATCAGGCCAAGAAGGAGTTGGAGCAAAAAGATAGTGATATTGTGGCTCTAACCAAAGAGGTGGTTGAGCTGCGCCTTTATAAAGCAGCACTAAGCTCTCCTGAAGACAAATCCAACAGTAGCGATGCGATTACAGTCAGGGTAAGTCACTTTATTCCAAGAATGCCGTTATTTTCGCAATACTTTCGCTAGGAAAACACCAGTGAAGACACCACTCCTGAAGCAGATGTAATTGATTCAGTCCATCATCTACCCAGCGATTTGAACCACTCTTTTGCGGATTCTGGTCATTATGAGGACGGCACCAACTCCTCAATCCACTCCAATGACGACTACACTAGGTAAAACCTTCCACTATATTTTATGCGTTATTTTCGACTTGTCTAATCATTGCAGATCGCCATTCAAGAATAAACTAGTTGAAACTTCAGACAAAGGCTGCACGGCTCACATGAGCATTTTGGAGAAATCGTCCGAACAGAGCAAATTGATAATGGAATACGAGAAAAGAATTCAGGAATTGGTGAGAACGCACGAGGAAGACACTTATCATTTGAAGCAAAAGCACAATGATAAAGTGGAGGAACTTCTTCAACGAATAACAGAAATAAATGCCAGGTAAAATAGCAAGATTAAAATCAATATGTTGAGGAGTTGGTGGACAATAGAGCTACAAACTTATTCCCTTTTAGGTACTGGGAGTTGGTTCCGGAGTTGGATTCGGCCAAAGAAAAAATCAAAGAACTAGAATTGCAATTGGAGGAAGCGAGCAGAAGGTTGGAGGAGCAGGAAGACAAGGCCAAGCAAACTTATCTGCAGATGTACTCGCAAGGGCAGGCGGCTGCAAGGCTTGAGCAGGAAAATGCCGTAAGTTTTCTTAACAATAATAACGGAAAAAGTGTACCGTCTCTGCGTATGTTTCATTACGTTATTGTCTAAAAAACCCAAAAACAGTTATGCGAATTTAACCTTTTTTATTCTGTTCGATTTGGATCTTCAGCTTCAACTGCAATAGAAAAGCACCCACTCTCTTGCAACTTGAGAAGTTTGCAACATTTGGGCATAAAGGAGAACGGTCTATTTTCTGGTCTTTCTGGAAGATTTTTTTAATTTTTTTTGTGAACCACTGAAATTCTACTCAGTTTCATTAACAAGATCTGCAAATTTTGAAAAAAATCATTTGTCAAGTTTGGATTCCTGGATTATTGACTTCAAAAGTTTTTGACAAAAATATGTTAAAAAGCGTCTTTTGGTATTAAAGGCGTTAAAAATTGAGCAAAAACTTGGAAGTTTTGAGAAACCGTTGCAACCGAAAAAGTTGCGCAAATGTTCCAAGCCTCTAAAGTTAAAGCAGAGCTTTTAACTACTGATTTTGATAAGCAACCGGAGAAAACGCCGTTTTCAATTTTAGCTTCTTTCAACAATAATGCAATGCGACTTTGTTAAAGAAACTTCTCGTTGAAATCGCACTAAAAACATACCGACTTTTGTTTGTTAACATGTGAACTTAACTTAAAACAGGTAATGGAAATATCCAGACAACCAAGCAGAGTTTCAGTGCCAGAGCTGCTGAACGAGCTGCAAGTAACAAAAATGGAACTCGAAAATATTAAGGTAAATGCAACCAAAATCACCTGAAAGTCATAATTTGCCATTAATCTATCTCTAACCTGCAGTAACAAAATCTCATTATAAATCAGGCGATTGTACCATGTGCATCAGTGTGTTTGTTTTATAAAAAAATATATTAAATGTACATTGCTTTAGTTGTATCTGGAGTGGCTAATGGTTCTAACCAAAAAATGTGGGCAAAACCCTGAAAAAAAATTCACCAAACTAAACTTTGAAGCATTTTTTACATGAATTTATCAGCATCGTCAACTAAACAAATAAAAGCATTGAAAAAAGCGCACTTTTGTGTGATGTTTGGCCTAGATCGACTTCGTTGGCTTCTTTACATGTGTTTTTTTAGGACGTAGAATACGCGTCGACTTCTAATCAACCATTACTTAGCGCCAAAGAAGCGCTGTCGCTTTGGGTGCTCGGTGCACGTAAGGTAAAACACCCTTAACATACTTAAAAAAAGTGCACCCGTTACGATCTAGATTAAGACGAAAAGCACCAGTAGTTTAATGTTTTGTGCATGAACGCAATTTTTAGGCACCATTTCTTAGGCGAGCACCTGAAGACTATTTTAGGCAGTTTTACTGATTCCTTGGAACAGTTGATTGCATATTAAAATGTTCTGTTTGTCCATTGCTTCTGCCTGTTCATTTTGCTTCCCTAAAGCTTCTACTAGAATTTCACTATGGCGTTAGGTTGAAGTAGATAATAATTTAAGGAACTTTCAGGCCATGTATCGTCAGCTAATGGAGGCCAAAAGCCGCAACAAAATTGATCCAGAAATCACCCTCCAGTTTCTGAAATCGGCCGTTTACTACTTTCTAACCGACAAAGAAAACAGCCATGGGCATTTGAAAGCCATCCAGAGCATTTTAGGTTTTACAGCGAGCGAAATCTCCAATATTGAAAAAGCCAAGCTGACTTAGTGTTTTGAGAAGGGATTTTTCAGAGCAGATAGTTGGGTTTAGTCCAATGTAATTTTTCTTGCGCGGCAATTTATGAATGCTTTTATAGTATACCAAAGAACTGATTAATTTGTTCTGGAACCACAAGCTGTGGCGTAAACTTTCCCAAAAAGGCAACCAACACACAAAAACATGGATATTTGGGGAAAATTTTAATAAGGTGTTATGGACACAAGATGTAATTTCTTCAATTACTAAACACTTTTTTTCATGATTCCATACCTTGTGGCTCTCTAACCACGTCCGAAACCCATTCGCAGTGCCTAAGTACGAAAGGTATAAATTTACCGTTGTTTTAAGCATTTTGATGTTGTGACATTGTGATTAGTAGAACTCAAACTTAGCTAGAATACTTAATAACTTTAAAATTCCGTCGTAGGTAAACTCGAAAAACAAATTTAATAAAAAGCGGGGTTTGGACTCATTTTTGTAATCAAACAAATTTTCTCTGCAATGTTACGGGCCCTCGTCCATTAATCCTGCACTTTTGCGGCAAATAAACACATACATTCTGGTTCATAAAGTCGATTCTTCGAAAACATCCAAAAGAATCGCTTAACATAATCTCTTTGAAACGGTTTACTCCGACATTCTTCAGATTGTTAAGAGGTTTGCTTGACCGTATTCATTTCGCATTACCAAGAAACCTGGCTTATCTATATGTTGAATGCGGATTAACTTTACTCATGCAAACAGTTTTTCAGTATACTTTTAAAGTATAAACTTAAGAAAGAAAAGCCACATTAACAACACCTAAAAAATCAAAATTTGCCGATTCATTACCATTCCAGGAAGATATTTTATAGAGGTTGTTAGGCAAACATCTAAAAGAAGGTGTTAAAGATGTTTCCTTTACCAAGTGTGACTTGCCGCAAAACCAATGCCGAAACAAGAGTTCTATAACAGGATTTATCTTAAAGGCTCCGTGCGTTCAACACTGGTCGAATGGACCCATTAACTCTTGAAATTTTTACCTGCAGACCACCCTACAAAATCCCCGTCCGCGTTCATTTAATTATGTTTTTGTGTTCAAATTGAGGTGTTTACCAAAACTGACGAGGGAAAATCTAAGCAATTAAGCAACGAAACTATAGGCATTGCTGTCGTTTCTTATTCAATTATCCATTTCATAAAATAAAAAATATTACCAACTAGCAGTAGTATAAAGATATCCAAAAAACGCTGTTTGTTCCTTATATATTTATTAATAAATACTTTACTTAAGCTAGAGCACAGTTTTACAATATAAAAAGTACATTATTTAAGCACTGACAATACTTAATAGTACATTAAGTATTTATTTGAAAGGATTCGCTTTAGTTGTAGAAATTAAAGGCTGAGGGATAAAGTAAAGAGGGTTGGAGTGTAGAATAGCAAAATATTCAGCAAAATGCCCCATAAGCGCAGGTAAAACAAGCTAAAGTACATTTTGCTAATTATTTGCGCTATAAATTTACTTAGTAATAATTTTGTAATTAAAATTTAATCGATGAAACTTGTGTCTAAAGCGATGTGGAGTTTGATGGCCTAAAGAAGATAATCAGCATCGTCTACTGCATATACTTTCCCAAACAAACACTCGCTAGACACACGTTTCGTTGTTCATTTAGACATATATTGTATATTTTCTTATTGGTCGGATTGTGCAATCTGTTTCTCTTATAGCTGTTACGATATTTTACTACCTATGATATTGTTGATTAAAATATATAGAAAACATGTTCGCCCTGCGTTGAATTTAATTGTTTCCACTCTAACAAGAGCAACTAGAAAGTAGCAAATAATTTTCCCAAGCTGTTGAGCCTTTTGTGAAATCATCAAAAATCTCTCGTATTGCAACGGCTAAATAAAGCTACAGACAGACAGACACTGGTTAATAAACGAATTGCGTAGTTTTTTCTCACACCAATTGCAAAATCCTGCTATTCAAACACTTCTTATCTATAGCATGAAATGGGTTTCGAAAAAAAATACTTTGCATAAATTATTGCGCTATTAGCATATGTTAAAAGAGCCATGTTTCTGCTGGGGCAGCAATACAATTGGAGAACTAGCGTTTATAGCTAAAATCGAATACACTTTAGCAGGCCATTCGTAATGCTTGGCCATTGACTTTAATGATGATTAAAATGAAATCGCTTGGTCAGCCAATCAAACAGGAAATGTTATTAACTAATCAATATTTTGCAGGACTTTGAGAGACAAATTGTTGCTTCTCGAACTGTTGATTGAACCGAGCAGGATGTGGATTGTGGTTTCTTGAATGCACTGAAGGAGTTTACTCAAGAAATGGTTCAGAAACTTTTCCACTAAAAGTGAGAATGTGTAAAAAATTTTCAAAAAAAAAAAATTCCTTGCGTTGTATTCCTTAAATTTCCAAAAGCAATTTGTTTTCTGTCGTTTAGCGCGATTGATTTGAACATGAAACAAGGAAAACTGGCGTTAACTGTCAAAACTGTTCTAATTTAATAATTTGCTATTTTAGAAAATCTGTTACAAGTTAGAAATTTGTCTGGGCAATAAAAACAAACATGTGAAATTTAAATGCTATTCAAAACTATTTTTGTCTTTTTACAGAAAGCCGAAACTATCGGCATGATTTTGTCGCATTTCTAGCCATTTTGATCCACTGTGGCGGCATGACTGTTTGATCTCCTTCAAACATTCCTCCTAAACGTGGAGTGAATTATAGCTGTTCCATGTCGATCAAGAAACGCTTTTAGTCGGTTGCCTTTCATAATACAGTGGTCGAGTTCAGTGGAATATTTCTCTATATACTATTTGGCATACAGAGCGTTTTTGATTTTCGATAAGAATAAAGTTAATTTTAAATAATTGTGTTTAATAGACGTAAAATGAATAGGAAAGAAGTGCAAAATAGAAAAATTTCTGGAAAAATGTTTTTTGAAAGTTGAGGTTCAATTTCGCATTAAGGAAACTTCTGAGTGGAGAGTGGAGGTTGAATTTATATTATTCAAATGCTTTTGGGAACTTGGAAAGTAACGAAATTTGTTAATTTGCAAGTTGAAGACGATGAAACTACACATACATTTTTCAAAGTTCTACGGAAATATAAAAGGTTTGAAGATTTGTGTGGAAAACGCATCAGTTCGAGGGCAATGGAAGGCAGAAAAAATCGTCTCTGTAAAACATTACAAGTTTTCTCTTTTCATAAGTTAAAATTAGTTCGGGACTTATTATATTAAATGTATTTCATTATTTACTGATAAACATTGAAACATTGTTTGTGAATCTATTTTATTTTTTTGACATGCATCGCTTTACTAAAATATAAATCTAAAATAAAGATGAAGTGAACGAGTGACGCAAAATGGAACAGACTTAAAGGGAAAACCCCCGAGACAAAAGGATATAATTTCCTTAAAAAAACGGGTTTAGCGGTTTGGCAAGACTATGCCAAATTTTGCGTAGTTTTAAGACATTTTTAACTATTTTATGGACTATCGATGGCCGTTTTATTTTCCCGATGATTTCATGGAAGATCCAAGATTGTTTCAAGCTGAAATTCTTCCGCTTTTATATTTTCAAGCAGAATTTATCCATGTTTTAGAGCAATAAATTAATTTAATTGTCTTCGGTTGCCCGTACTTTCAATATGTGTTAGAATGCGCGATAATCTCATGAAAGACTATAAAATCTAATAAAACAATTGAAAATTCAGGGAGATGCATAAGACAGATTTTCTTTACAATTGCTTTAATTTGAATACAATTTTAAGACTTCATTGTTGACTGGAGCAAAAAAATAATTTTCAAACTTTGATAAATGTTTGGCTACTGTTTCAGGCCCTAGCATTTGCGATTAACAATATGCTCTCCTTAGAGAAAATCCCGTTACCGTCAAATTTTAGTGGTATTTTTTGCGGAAATGCGTTTTTCAGTCACTATTAAGTTATGGAAATACACTACTTTTCGTGTAAACAGGTGGAAACCCGCAAAAAACACCACCAGAAAAGTTGTTAGTTTGTTAATAAAAGGATTACCTATGAGGTCACTGACCACTTAGATAATTACTCTTTGTCCTTCCCTACTTGCAATTTTTTTGTGATAAGTTTTGCAAACGTTTATTTTAAGTCTTGGTGTTTTTTCAAATTTTCCAAATTCCGATCGCTGCATGTGATTTTTGATTGAAAGCTGCTTGGCTGCGCCTTTATCGACTCGACTCAGTCCAAAAATTATCTCTACACTGAAAAGTTTATCTTTTGTAAAGCGGTTGTTTTGTATCGGGCCCAGCAAGCGGCATTCATTTATTTTCTCTTTCCTCCGTCCGTCAGTCGGTTTATTGCCTGGTTCGTATTGAGAACGCTACGAAAAACTAGTCCCTTTCGGTCCGTGTGTAGCGCAGGCCGCTGTTCTGTCGAAAAAAATCGTCTCTTAAAGAAACCCGAACAACCAAAGTGCCTTTTCTTGAAAAAGGCTTTAGGAGAATGTTAGTCATGGGTTTTTGTTTATTGCCTGGTTCGTGTTGAGAACGCTACGTAAAACTAGTCCCTTTCGGTCCGGGTGTAGAGAAGAAGTCCGCTGTTGTATTGAAAAAATCGTCTGTTACAGAAACTCGAACAACCAAAGTGCCTTTACGTGGAAAATGCTTTAGGAGAATGTTGGCCAATCGTTTTTAGTGACTTTTAACAGTTTGGCGCGCTTAGTTTCCACCACTATGAAGACTTTGATTTTCCTTTCGGTTTTTTGCATCGTTGCTTTAATCCAAAATTCCGCAGCAGAAAGATGTGAAACAATCTCGTTGGAGATGTGCCAGAATTTGGGATACAATTCCACACTAATGCCGAATCGGATAGGCCATCTCAGTCAGATCAATGCCGATCTAGAGGTAATTACGAATCTATTATCATAATACCTGTGTTATCTTTATGGTTCTGTGATATCGTGATCCTTTCTATATGATCGTGTTGTGTGCCATGCCGCCAGTCTGTCATAAACACCGGTAAATTGTAATATTTGAACCGTAAAATGTGTTATTTATTGCGGATAACACTATTGTTTTGTGCCAGTTTATTGGTTCCATCAGCGGTTGTTCGTTCCGGCTCTAGATAGATCAATTCACAATAAAACGATAATAGTTTGATCATTTGCCCAAGCTTACATCATTGGAACTTTGCGATTTTTACCTCAAGTCCAAAGAGGCTTTTGTTTAGCCGAAAACTTCGGTTTCTAACCATTTACTGTTAGTTTCCAGTTGTCCGTTCTATTCACATGCAATCGATCAGCAAATGTATCTGGAAAAAGTAAAAAAATTCGAATTATTATTTCTAAGCCGATGGACGATCAGCCACGACGTGAATGGCGATTTTTTGATGAATTGTTGCCCCCTTTGCTAACACAGAAGCGAGCAAAAACTGCGCGTTCCAGTGTAACATAAATAATTATTTTTTAACTTTAAAGGTGCCCAGAAAACAGTCGCCGACGCCAACTTTAAACAAAACGGTTCCAAATTGTTTTCGACTAATAAACAATCTCAAACATCAAAGCCCCTCTACTTGCTTTAATGTATATCAAAGTTAGCTTTGATTTTACATTTGTTTACGTATCTGCCATCTGCGATAAAAATCATCCGAAAGTTTTATGCGATTTGTAAGACTGAGTAAATATCTCATAAATTCTCTCGATTGCAATTCACCGCAAATAAACTAGTTAAACTGAATGTGGTTAGCAATTTCTGAATGACCCTGTTCACGTGTTATTAATTACAAGCGTTTTTCCTGAAGGAGGTCTTGAAATGACCAGTTTTGGGAAGTTTTAACACGTTTAGCGTCCAAGTCCAGAAAAACTGTGCATTTCCCGAACTAATTTAAACAATTGTTGACAAACCACTCAATCAGTTTTCCAGTTAGTGAAGAAATATCATTGGAATTACATTCAGCAACTTGCAACTGAGATGTTTACTTTACTTTATATCCCAGAACATAATTAGGTGGAAATAGCAAAAACCACGCAGAAAAACCCTTCTCTGACATGCTGCAGACTTAGAAAACGCAATAATAAATACGAAATGTTTCAACTAGCCTAAAAAGGAAGTACAAGTTCTCATGGTTGTGCCCCTGCAAATTCACTCAAAAACTAGTCCTTCAGAAAAAAACTCACTCTTATCGGGTGTTGCAGACTCGGTGTTTTCACTTCATTGTTAAACCGGGTAGCAAAAAATATGGCGATTATCATGTATATAATGTGAACAGTTTGCTAAAAACGAGGAAAGCGCGCCGCCGCTGCTGGCGGCCAAACAAAAACTCGTACAGGGTATTCTTGATTTGATGGCTTGACGAAGCAAAGCCGAGACGGGCTCGAAGATGAAGAAAACACGCAACTAAAAACTATAATTCGAAATTTGTCCCGGTGCCGGTACGACGAATTGTTAAGAATGCCCGGCTAAAAACTGCACGGAACATTAACTATGGCCCATTCCTGTATAATGGAGGAGAGGCGAATTTTCGACTGTCTTTCTATGGGAAATTCCGCCCATTCAATTCAAGATTGGCCAGATGCCGCTCAAATTCTCTGAATTTGCTAAGTTCAAAAAAATCAGAATTTTTTGCTGATAAGAGTAGAAAAACTCTTCAAAACCCTGTAGCGGATCTTGCAAAATCAATCAGCTGAGTGAGGAAAATGGACAAGAACCACTGATGAAAATTAGTTTTTCGTAGTGTTGCCTTGTTTGGTATATAAAAATGACAAAAAAAAATTTAAGCGTCTTAACAAAAAGTGAATTTGCTCCCAATTAAGCTCAGAAACATCAGGTAACTTGATTTTCACTGACTTGACTACCTTTCAATTGTTTGCATTATGAACGGGTTCAAGCGTTCAGTTTTGGTTTGTCTCTAATATACTGATTAGCTAAAATTGATTTATTGCCACTACACCTAGTCGATGCAATGTAAATATTGCAAACACGTCACGTTGCCTGTTACGGGATTCTCGATAAAATTAACTGATTAGCAGCAGACATTAAGTACTAAACGAACAGCTCGGAGGAATATTTCAAACATACAATTTTTCCCTGCAAATTGATCATAGTTTGGGTCAATAATCCAGCAAGTTACAGCTTAAGAAAAATACCTTTTTAATGGTTAAAGACCTAAAGACAGGAGGAGGCTGGTGAAGTTTGAAAAAGAATCTGAACTTTCTGGGCAAAAACCAAACCGACACATGATTTTTAAAGGGAAATTTTTTAATTAAAATATCACGATATTCTTTTCCTTCCTGGGTTTCGGTCAAACTGAAGTAAACATTTTTATAACGTTTCGGCGAGACAACAGCGCCACCATCAGATTTAAAATTCATACAAACTCATAATTGGAAAACATTAGATTCTTTTAGATCTTAGCTGTCCTGAAACCTCAAATTTGTTTTCTAGAAAACAAAAAAATCTATTATTTTTTTAAATCTGAACTTTTGCAGATAAAATCATCGAAATTGGTTTCCTTTTTTTTCAAAAAATGTTTTCGTTAGAAACGATTCAAAACTTTTCCACTAAAAAATCAACAATTAAATAAATTTGTTATCAATATATTTTTTTAAATCTATAAACTTCTACAAAGCAGAATCAGCGAAAATTCAAATGTTTATTCCTGTTTTTCAAAGTGCTCAAGTTAGAAACGACTCAAACGTCCCCTACTGCAAAATCAACACGTAATTTGTTGTGAATGCATTTTTTGTTCACCTGTAAACTTCTGCAAAGAAAAATTGGCAAATATTCAAATGCTTATTCCTTTTTTTCAAAGTGTTCAAGTTAGAAACGACTCAAAATTTCCCTACTGCAAAATGAGCAACTGAATTTTTGTGAATCATTTTCAATTCAATCAAGAAAAATCAGCAAATTTAAAATTTCATTTCTTTTTTCAATGTTCAAATTAGAAACTATTATACTCAAAAGTTCCCAACCATCAACTAAATTTGTTGCCAATTATTTTTATTTTAATCTCTAAACTCGCAAAGAAAATTCAGCGAATATTCAAGGTTTAATTCTTATTTTTTTTAATGTTTGAAGAGTAAAAGTTTCCTACTACAAAATCAACAACTAAATTTGCTGTCAATAATTTTTTCTAATCTAGGAACTTCTGCAAAGAAAAATCAGCCAAAAATTAAAATTTCACTTCCGTTCTTCCAAAATGTTCGAAACGAACGAAAATTGGGTTTGTAGTGGGGAACTTTTGAGTCGTCGTTTCTTACTACAAAAAATAACAACAAAATTTGTTTTAAATTTTATTTTAATCTATACAATACTGCAAAGAAAAATAATCGCATATTCAAATGTTTAATCTCTTTGTTTACATTAAAAACGACTCAAAAGTTCCCTACAAAGTCAGCAACTAAATTTGTTGTAATTTTTTTGTCTGTAAATAAAAGAAAATTCGGCGAATACTAAAATTATCATTCCCGTTTTTCAAAAATGTCCAAGTTAGACTCGAATATGTCTAATGAACGAAATTACTGTTTGCAAACCTCGAATCTTGGAACGATGGAAAAGTTATTTTTTTTGTCTGATCTGGTAGCGGGTTTGGGACTTGATTTAAACTTCCTTTATATTCTAAAAATATCCGACGTTTCTACCCTTTTTGGGAACAAAAAACGACAATTTTTCAAAACCAAAAAGAGTTTCAATCCAGTCCCAAACTCTTCTACTGGAATTACGTATTTCAATTCTCTTCTAAGGTCTAGTTTTAATATTCTTCGAAAAATAATATACATCGATGCCTTTGAAAAAATGCATAAAAATCTGGTAAAAAACCGTTTTAAATGAAAACAAACGCAACAGTATAATGTGATGTTAGGAGGGCCATTATGTAAATGAGTGCGCACCTTTAAAGATCGCTACACTTTGGCAAAGAGATCCGCAGATAAACAGCATAAAGTGCTTGGAATTCTACTATGTGTGCACGGAAACGATGGCCGATCATAGTCAGATAGTTTATTTTCACGACGAGCTGGTTGAATGTAATAAATTAAAAATAAAGATAAAAAGTTCGCACCTTGGCCCAATGTAAATACTTGTGCCGAAAATTTACGCAACTGCAAAACGGTTTACATCGTTTCTTAACTTAACGGCCAGTGTTTTTTTTTTAATTTATATAAGAATGTGTTGGAACTTGACAAAATGACCAAAGCAAATTACAACTGAAGACTAGGGTTAATCGAAACCTCAGTTCAATGCTATAATTAAATTAAAACCGCTGCACTTCGGCCGAAGCTTGGAATGGAGAATAAATTGCCATCGCCCAGCCCTAATAACGGTTTTTAATCTACATTAGAGACGCAACAGGATGCCTCGAACACAACTAAACTTATAATCTTCATAGTTTCGGTCCATAACGAATCGAAATTATTGTAGATGCCGCGAATAGCGATCGAAAATCGACGCTTATTAGAGCCAGTTTCACTCAAATTGGAGTAGTTTTTGTTTACAATCCGTAATTTCCTAGTCCGAAAATCGTTCGTAATCATCGGAATTCAAGCGCTGAGATGTTTCGGATTAACAATGTGAATGTGTAGGTTCCATAGAAAAGAACATGACCGCAAATGTATGGTACCTTGAGGTTCAGCCTTGTTGCCGAGTGTAAAAAAACGGGAAATCATTTTCCTGTTTTSAGTGAAATATTTTTTTGCTTTGATACATTGGGATTTTATGTAACCGCGCAAAGTGGTTTTTATTGATWTCTCGAGCCCAAAAATGTATCCACCCAAAAAAAACAAATGTGTAAGACAATGGAAGTGGGATTGATCAAATGTGCAAAATTCCCCATGTAATTTTCGCGGTGTTAATGTTTTGGGCCGGTTGACTACCCGATTTTACTCCAATGGATTTCTCAGCGACTTTGTTCTCCTCTAGTCATGCCGGTTTCCGGTTCATTCTTCAGACAATAAGGCTCAGAAGGACGACGAAAATTATGTTTTTTTCTTCGTTTGCGAGCAGCTGATGGCAACATTGGCGATCGTTCGGGCAGAACTAAAACCGTAATGACCGTCTTTCAGAAGGCATGACGAACCGCCGTCGCCGCTCTTGTATCATCCTGACAGTGATATTTTGTTAAGAAAGCATTCTGCCGGGTCCAATCTGCTGGGGGAGGGCA